AGTACTGTGTTACATTCTTTTCATCGTTTTCAACAGATTTCATTTGTTACTTGTTCTCAGATATTTGTTCAATTGTTAAGTTCTCAATTTGTAAAAATATTTGACTCGGCCATTAGTTAATTCCTACAAAGTCTAATTTAACAAAGAACTTTTATCCATATGTTTTTGTTTATTTCTTTGATAGGTTTGAACTCATTCTCAGAATATACAGTAGTTTGTCATGCTCTGTGATGACTGTTATATTGGGACGTGATTTATTTATCCACAAGTGTGATCTTAATTTTCATTCCATTCGGGTTAAGTTACATTTTAAGTATCAAAAAACCATTTGTTTTTGTGTTAGATAGATTTTTAGCTTACAGAAAATTGCTCCATTCCAGTTTTTTCCTGTTTGGGCAGGTTTTTTTTTTATTTGGGTTCCATTTTATACAGGTTTTTCTGTATTTGTCCATAGTTTTTTTTAACTTTCTTTTTTATATATACAGAAGAGCTATGTCAAACTATTATTTTTGGTCCTGATATAAAAGTTAAGGTGCTTTTTTGATAATTTAATCCTTTCAAATTTAAAGAGAAAAATGGTTATAATTTTAAAATTTCAAGTAGCATCTCATATCTTGTGGGTACATCAGTTTAACAATTTTTAATACTGAATCCAACAGTGCAATCAAATTTGAAATCGAACCAACCATTCAGAAGTTATACCTGAAAAGCCTTATTTACTAAGTTCTGTTAATTTGAAGTTAATTGATAATAACAAGCAATTATTTATTGTGACATCGTCACAATGCTAGGCTGCAATTTTTTAATCATATCTTTAATTTATTTAATTTAAAATATATGCTCTCCACTTCAAATTAGTACTGTAGTGTCTTGCCTCTGTACTGTACATCATACTTTTCTGTTAGCAATGGAGTCGTGCCAGTCATCGATCTAACTCCTTTTGGGGGGGAGTTTTGAATTGAAATAACGTATATAGTTAAGCGGGGCCTCCTGCTAAAATAACTTATACAGGGTGTATCAGAATGATGTTTTAAAAATTTGGGGATTGTAGAGGACGAAATTCTGAATGTTTTGATATAAGGAATCTGTAGCTGGAAATGGTTCTATGTGGTCGGTATGCTGAATGAAACAGCATACCGACCACATAGAACGTGCAAAGCATCTACAGCACTTTGCACGTTATATGTGGTCGGTATGCTGAACGAAACAGCAGAATACAGTATTTATGACAAGTTTTATTGACAAAACAGTAGACTACAATCAAACTGTATATCGAATCAGTGGCTGTGCTACTTTAGAGTAAATGTTCAATGTGATGATCACCAACTTCGACTCACATTGACTAGCTGTGTGTTTACAGCATAGCACCAGTGGATGCAAGGGGTGACCTGAAGGACAAGCACTAAGTACACAACATCCTGTACACAGGCTCAGTTAGACCACTGTAGTTGTGTGTTTACAGTCTTCCATCCACTGCAATAACATGACGTCAATGGACGGAAGGGTAGTTACCAAAGTGAGGGGCGGTCAAGCGCTTCCTACCACTATTTAATAATCATTAAATTTAATTCAAAATAATAATTAACAGAATTGGAACTAAAGATGACATTACCTGTTTGCTTTATTTTTTAAGCTATGTAATGCAGAAATCCCATGATTTGATTGCAGGTGTTTGTGAACAATCCCAATTATATAAATTAAGTGTAAAAATAAATATGATTTATGTTTTATTTTACAACTAATTTTCTTTGTCTGGTAATAATAATAAACCGGGAAAAAAATTAAACAGAAAATAATTTTATTATTAATTATTAAAATTATTTTCTGTATTGTATTGGTTAAATCCCTTTATGCTGTATTGCATTGCCTATCACCTATAATTCAAGTAGTAAAAGTAAACAATTTAACATAATGGCTCCGACATGCAATGACGCTGTGTGATGCAATGCAACATGTGACACAACATATGTGAGTTTAACCAATAAGTATCTTACTTTCTGTTTAATTTTATAAAAATTTAATTCTTTTGGCTTTTTCTGTTTTGTATGACATTGAAGATTGATTAATCTTAATTACAAGTACTTATTAAAAATTAAATCTTAATGTAACATTTTGTGGTATTTTCACATTGCTACATTGCATTTTGGTTGATTATTAAAAGAATCTCAACATGAATTTTGAATGCTTGTTTTGTGCTTGCATATAGTTGGCAACACCACCAAATATCATATCCATGGATTGCTGTCTATGCATCTAACATAGCAAGAGTAGTGTATGTAGCATCTGTGTAGTATGGCCGCTCCCAGTGTCTAATATGATAGCAATCTTTTTTACTAGTAGTGAGTGTAGCATTCGTAACTTATGTAGTGGTCTGTGTGGCTGAGGCTTAAAAGATTAGGCATTTCAGTCTTAAATAGATTTTTCCATATTATTTATTTTAGCAATTCATTGTGGATGTGGAATTATAATGGAAATAAAATGGGAGTGCTTTCTTAGTTTAAGATTGGAAAGAATAAAATCAAAAATGAAATGTCTAAGACAAATACCTTCTAAAGTACATACTGGTTAAGTGACATGTTTCCAATAAAACTTTGGTAATGTGGAGGCATTCAAGTATGACATCTACACTGGGAGGGGATATGTTAGAATTTTCTGACAGATTGACAGGGGGTGGAGAAATGTTAGTAGAATGTTGAGGTAAAGATTCTGAAAAAATTTTGTATTTGAAATTTTTTAAACCAAAATCATTATACAAATAGAAACACCCAAACACAATAGTCATATATTCAAATAGTTAAGTAAGTTTTTAACCAAAATCATTATGCAGAAGTATTTTGATCAATGAACATATAGCAAGTTCTTGCTTATTTACATAGTTACATTTAGTAGAAGTACTGTACTAAATATGCTCTGTTGGAAGTGCTCTAGTAGAAATTTTAGTATGAAAGATAATGGCAACAATTTAATCTTTACAGAGAGATTATAGATAGAGATACTGTTGAAAGATAATACTGGCATCAAGGTTCATTCTAAGCTGCACGGTCGCGCACTGCTTAAATTGTTGCCGCGCAGGTGAGCATGCACACTGATTTGAATTGTTGTTTACTGATTTGTCACTCTGTCTGTGACATGATTATTGCTACTCGTATATGTATATTTCAATTAAATACGTTAAGTCATTGACAAAAGATAATATTTTGTATGAAAGTATGTTTTAAAATGAATTTTAATCTTTACTTTATAATTAATTGTTTTAATTTTTAAAGGAAAAAAATAAGATTGTCTCTGTATCTGCTTAGTAAAAATTTTTTTCTCTCAGAGAAGTACATGTTCAGCTCAGCTACAAAAAAAATTAGAGGGAATGTTGACTGGCATATAACATATTATCTTTAGAATAGGAGTTACTTAGTATAATGTTATCAGACAGTTCTGTGTTAAATCAGTAAATTTTTTTTTTTTTTCTTCTATTGGCATGTTTTTAAAATTAGCCTTGTCTTGGCAGGAAATATGAATAAATTAATGTACTGCAGACAGTAATGAATCCAGAGTGATTGCAGGAGGCCCTGGCACCCTCCAAAGAAAAAGAAAAACAAACACTAGAGAATTTTCCAAAAAATCTTATCTTAATTAAAATTCTTTTTTTTCATTTATATTGTGTAGTGTCTTCTGTTTTTTACTACTAATAAATTAGCAGTCACAATGTAAAAATTTTATTGAATTTGCATTAAAAAATATTTTATCCATTCAACTCGGTTCCCTCAAAATTAAATCCCGAGTGTGGCACTGACTGCAGATCTGTTTTATAATAATGCCTGATTTTAATATCTGAAGGCAAATCAAGCATGACATCAGCATGGGGTGTCTAAAAATTGGCAAAAAAAATATGACAAGGAGTGGAATAGGTAGTCAAAAAGGACTTAAAATTGGTGATAACTAGGGTTTCTTTCCCGGGATCCCGTTTTCCCGGGATTCTTGCCGTTTATTCCCTATGAGAAAAATCCTGGGAAATTTAATTTTCCCGGGAAATCTTGCCTTTCAATAATAATTTACCATGTCAGGTTTTCTTTCTATTATTTATTATATGAAAAGTTGCATCTTGAAGACTCACCTAAGAGAGAAATTTTGAGGTTTCTTGCTGCATATTATTACCTATGTTTTACAAGTCTCTACTTGTTAGTTCATGTAATATCTATGTATTGTGTGTGCGCATCATTGAACAGCGAAGACTTGCTGTTCAATGATGCGATGAGTGATATTTACTTTCAGCGAAGACTTGCTGAAAGTAAATATCACTCATCGCACTTTAGTTTATTTTTTATTTCATCTTTAGAAGTAAAATAGTATTTTTTCGTAATCATTAAAACTCCCAATGAAACGCTTTATTTTACTTTCATCTTATAATGTAGGACAATATAAATTAATTGAGCCTAACGTGTCCGTATTGGTGAGATTGGCCCTACACTTTTAGTTACTTACTAGAAAATAAATTAAATTATTCAAATTTATGATATTCCTGTATGATCTTTTTTATTCATATAAAATTATATTTTACTATCTCATCCCAGAATTTCTCGGGATCCCGGGAAAAGAAATTATTTTTCCCATAATCCCGCTGGAGGCAAATTTCCTGGGAAATGAGAAACCCTAGTGATAACATATTTGAATGATCTTTGCAGTATGGTTTGTGCGACATTTTTGTTTCAGTGATTTTTTTCAGGGCATATGCCAATGTCGGTTTTATGCCACTACGAGTATAGTCAAGAAATTACAGTACTAAATAATGTAAAATAAATTGAGCCAGCTAGCGAAGGAGTGAACAATTCATTATTTTTGCATGCTGCATTTAGACTAATCACAGATGAACTGTAGGCAGAGCAGCCTTCATGTTTTTGTTAACTCCTTTCTCATTAATCATTTACTTTTTTAGGGAAATTATTACAATTATTAAAATATTAATATATGCTCTATATTGATTATAGACTAATTTATCATTTTATTAGGTGAATGGAGAGTTTGTGTCAAAAATGCTGTGGAATTCTTACAAGATAATAAATCTTAAATTATCTTCTTTTATTTTAGGTAAGTTTTGTTAATAGTTTTATTAAAAATGCATTTTGTTAGTATAACAGCATTTTCCTTGTATTTAATTAAATTATAATTACACATAAAAAAAGATATTTTCTTCTACTATTTTATTTGTTTAAAATTAGATGACAAGATTTAATTAATTGTATTAATTGTAATATTTTTAATTATTTGTTAATGTTTAATTATAATAATTAAATTGGTAGTTTATTACTTCATTACAGCTCATTAATTAAGCTCCAAAAGAACATTTATCTATCAAGTGATGAATTAACAGATAATATTTTTTTTAATTCTTTCATTATTTAAGCAAAAGTAAAATTTATAAAGTTTGTGTAAGGTATTCCTTAATTTGTCACAAATGTTTTTGACGCTCTTTTTTTGCTTCAGCTTTGAATGCAATTACAAAATTGAATATTGAATAAAAATTCCGAACTAATAAATTTTTCAATATTTTAAGTATCTATACTATAAACAACAAAACAAGGATGCCTATTTAGCACTACTTAAATTATAAATCATTTTTACATCTATAAACATCTCAAAGCCTGAAGTTATTAATAATAAGCCAAACAATCACTGTAAATTACTCAGAATTTAATTATTAATAGTAGTGGTAACGTAGCTCGATTCAATACAGCGATTGTTTGGCTTACTATAAGCCATTTTTAAATTTTAAAACGTCAAATTTGATTTAAATCTAAAGAGATTCAATCAGGTTTGACATTTTATTTCCTATTTAGTGTTTAATTTTTATTAATTAAACTCTACTGTTGATTAATCTTGTTCCTGTATTACAACAATTCTTTATATACGATCGTCTATTACTTGCTGTAATGATGAAATAATGTCATTATATTTCGTAGAATCTATTAACTTTCTGTCGATGATGTAATTTTTCTAAATAGAGATGTACATTTTTGCCATTGTAATTATAATTCAGTTTGCATCAATTTTTTCTTGTAAAAATGTTAAAAATTCTTTCATTCATTATAATAATAATCATCAAAAATGTTGAGTTTTTTTTCGTGCAAAACAATCTATAAAAAATAAAGTTTGGTTGCAAATTTTATCTAAAGTTATTTCCAATTAATAACAACACATGAAAAATATAATACAAAATATTAATTTTTAATAGAATTCTAAGTATATTGGAATTTTGAAATTTAAAATATTTTCATAAAATTAAATAGAAAATAAATTTTAAAAAAATTATTTGAATAACAGATTGATTTGATTCATAACAAAATAAGGGTTGATGAATTAATTGAAAATAAACTAAAGACTTAAATAACTAGATTATTAATGAGCTGTAACAGTGCTATTAATTAGAAAATTAAATTATGTAATTTAGTCTAAAGATAGGTGATTACATTGCCATCTCATGATAATGTTAATCGTTTATATTTAATACTAATTTAACTAAATTAATTTAGAAGTTTCTGAAAGAAAAAATTGCTTTGGGATGGGACTTAAATTTGCATTTTTCACTCACCGTATTTTTCTAATTAAACTGTGGTCTTTGAATAAACCGTAGGAACACTGTTAAGAATGAACCCTGGGTTGAAGTACAGGGGAAACGTGTTGAAGTATTACACTGTATACGGTAATGCAGTTTATAGTGGCAGGTAGAGTTTAAAATTCTACCTCTTTAAATTGTCTAGAATCGGATAACATTTTCTATTTGAAAGTTTATAGAAACATTTTTTTGAAATAAAATTATAAATATTGTTCAGTATTGAGTGTGGAGAAAGTCATGATGAAGTTAAGAGTTTTTTATCAGCTGAAGAGTATTTAGGAAAACTCTGGTTCAATCTCTTTTGGAAGAGATGATGAGAGATTGAACCAGATGGTAACAAAATTCTTGATTTCTACAGTGACATTGAAACAGACACAAATGACAATGTAATATCCAAATTGCAGATGCTTAATTGGGTTAACTATGAAAATTGTAATTATTTCAAATGTTGTAGCTGTAATCCATACATACACCCAACAATTGGTTTGATAGTTTGGAAAAGCTATAAATAATTAAGGTATTTATTTTAATTTTATCCTCATATCTCCTGTTTCAAGGTGGTAAACCCTGGTCTTGAAAAAACCTTGGTTCTTCAAATAAACTCCAGGTGATTTAATCAAAATTTAATCAAGGAAATATGATATATTGTGCAGATGCAATACCAATTGCATGGACCTCCAACTGATTTTCACTTCCAGGAATAGAGGGTGATCATAATTTGAATATCCTTATTCAGTACTGTCTGGAGAAATATTTAGTAGTCCAAGCGCAATCAAATTTTGTGTGATGATGTTTCGAGACAAGGGAAAGAGCCTTCTATGTTGGAAAAAATTTAATTCTAAATATCACCACTAAAGACAAGAACTTGTGGTAATAAAATACAATAAAATAAAATAACTTACTGGAATGTAAATACTTAAAATAATCGAACACCTTAGTATTTCCAGCAACGAAGTATTTAATAAAATAAAAACGTTTTCGACTATATTTAATAGTCTTCTTCAGTTAATCCACTTTAAAAACGAAAACGAACGTAAAATAGAATGCAAGCCATACAACGGTTTAAAAAATTGAAATTAATTACAAGAAAATAAAATAAAACGTAAAAAACAAAATTAAATTACAAATAAAATATTAAGAAATTAATCATGGTAAAGAATTTAAAAAATTAATCATCATGGTAAAAAGATTTCCATGCGCAGGATAGACTTTCTGCGTCTCTATGGTTGATGCATCCTTTGTTAATATGCGACTTATAAATTTCAAGTTTTTCAATATGTTTAAGGACTTGTTTGTTGGTGGCTGTCCTAATTATGGATGCTTTGTCCCAATGTACATTAATATCTTGATGTTTAGCGAAGGCTGCAAGGATGGTGTTGTCCACGTTTTTAGTAATAGAATACTTATGTTCTTTAATCCTCTGTTTTAAAAGTCTCATAGTGGCACCAACGTAAACAAGATCTGAGTTAAAACGGCAGTCACTTAAAGGAATAGAATAAACTCCTGTACTATTGTTACGGTTTCCTTTCTTCTTATCATTTTGTAAAATTCTATATATCGTCGGATTACGACGATAAATAACTCTTAAATTATTCTTGTGAGATACTTTTTTAATTATTGATTGTAGGAAAGGTATATAGTTGAGAACTACTCTTCGTCCTTGGTTCTTAGTTGTAGGTTGCTTATTTGTTTGATTACAAAATTTATCAATAAGAGTATTAATTTCACTTATACGATATCCCTGTTGTACAGTTATTGTATGTATGTAATTTAATTCTCTGTGTGTCAACCATACTCGTACAGTGGGTATAGGCCCGCTTTATCCATGATCGAAAGGCTGCATTCTTAAAATTCTGAGGATCAAAGGAATTCTTCGGTATAATAATAGGTAGATAGCTAGGCTTTCGATAAATATCTGTCCATATTTCCCCATATTTACAAGTTATGGACAGATCCAGAAAATTTATGTTAATGTCACTTTTCTGTTCTAATGATAAAGTCACACCATATGGGTTGTTATTCATTTTGTTAAGGAAATATTGAGCGTTATTACTATTCCTCCAGATGATGAAAACATCATCAACGTATCTTGCATATACAAGTATGTCATTTATAAAGCCAGGCAGTACATTACTTTCTAATCATCTTAATACTAGTTCACATAATAACGGAGATATCGGACTCCCCATTGAAACTCCTCTTTCTTGTAAATATGTGTTCCCTTCAAATACAAAAAACGAAGTATAACAAATTAGGTGTGCAAGCTCTAAAATGTGTTGGTGATACTTTGTTGCATTATTAATGTTAGTAAGAAGGAAGTCTCTTAGCTCGCAAAAGCAAGGCGGTAATTTTATAGATGGAAATAAAGATTTAAAATCCATCACGGTCATAACTTCGTTATCTTCAAGGTTAATGTTTCTGAGCTTGTCCACTAGTTGAACAGAGTTATTAATAGCATATGGGTAATCTTGAATCCTTGGTCGAATAAATTTAACTAGTTGTTTCTCAATTGCAAAAGTAGGGGATTCGCATTTCTCTATAACAGGACGTATAAGGCAGTCAGGCTTATGAGTTTTGCCAAAGGCAAAGATTCTCGGCATTCTTGGTGCTTGTACTACAGAGTTATGCATTTGTAAATAGTGAGCTAAAGGGGTTGAAGAGAATTTTTTAACTCTTTGTTGTAGTGATTCTAAATACAGTGGTACCTCAGGATACGAAATTAATCCGTTCCGAAACTGAGATCGTATCATGAAAATGTCGTAAGGTGGATCATCTTTTCCCATACGATTACATGTAAAACCAAATAATTCGTTCCAACGCGAAAAACATACTCAAATTAAAGCCAAGTAATACATTAAAAAAAATAACTGTAGTAAGAAAAACAAATGAAAAATGCGAACTAATGTAACGTCGTATGGTGAGTTTTTGTTCGTATCGTGGAGCAAAAATATGTTTGAATTTCATGTCGTATCCTGAAAATTTCGTATGCTGGGGCGTTCGTAACCTGAGGTATCACTCACTGTATTTGTTAGGAGCAGGTTGGCATTCAGTGTCTCTGATGTATTCTTGCAGTTTTTGGTTGTAGGAATCTTAATATTTTATTTGTAATTTAATTTTCTTTTTTACGTTTTATTTTATTTTGTTGTAATTAATTTCAATTTTTTAAACCGCTGTATGGCTTGCGTTCTATTTTACGTTCGTTTTCGTTTTAAAATGGATTAACTGAAGAAAACTATTAAATATAGTTGAAAACATTTTTATTTTATTAAATACTTCGTTGCTGGAAATACTAAGGTGTTTGATTATTTTAAGAACTTGTGATGCTGCAAATAACAAAAAATCTTAGAAATCATCCGTAATGTGTGTTCTTTATGCATATAATGTATTTTTTTTTCTTGCAGCATGAAAAGTTTTATAGTAGTGAGTTTTGGAACTAAATTTTTTCCTGCAGAAATCTCTTCTACATGTCTTGAAACATCAGCAAACAAAAATTTGGTTGTGTTTGGACTGCTACATATTTCTCCAGACAATACCGAATAGGAATACTCTAATCATAATCATATACAGGTGTAATATTACTCAATCATGTAACTATATAGGTCACTTTCCAGATACTTGTAAATTAATATTAAGTTATCATCATGCAATGACAGCCTAATTACCTACCTTTAGACAAATAGCACTGTTAAGAGACTGTTAATAATCTATTTATTTAGTTATTTGGTTGGTTGATATGTTTGGTTAAAAGTGAATGATTGATTAAAACAAATGATTAAGATTGAATATATTGGGCTGCTTTATAAAATAAAATAATTTGTCATTTTAACAACAGTTTTTATTTAATTAATAACAATTATTTAACAAAACTTGATGTATAACGTACCAAATAGATGTATATTAATTTATATAAAAAATTTTTTTAGAAAATAAATTTATGTACTAAATTTAAGAATTCGTTTATCTCAACAACTATTGCTAAATCTAGTAACATGCAATCCGCAATTCTTCTCTTGGTGTAATTTTTCTGTTACAATTTATAAAATTCATGTTTTAAGTGCTGTATTTGTTTTTTATTGGTCCTCTTTGAATGGCAGTTTAAACTGTATTTTCAAAATTAAAATGCCAATTTATAATTTAGTCTAAGAGAAATCAGAGTTCAGTTTATAACTCTGAGCTTAGAATTTTACAGGACAAATTCTAGGAAACTACATGATGATAGTGAAGAGAAATTCTTACTTTTATAACTGTTTACATTTTATAATTTATATGTAAACATCAGCTCAAAAACCTGATTTATAGTTAAAGCCAAATGAACTACTGAATTATTGGGTTATAATATGCCTATGTAATTAATTAAATACTAAATAATTTGTCTTAGAAGTAGGCAGTTATGCTGTCATCTTGTGCTAGATTTAATAATTATAATAAATTAAATTAAATTTAGAATTTTATGGAAGAAAAGAATTGGTCCAGGGTGGACCTTGAACCCTTACTGTGCAGATGCATTGCCAGTTACACTTCCTGGACTTCAAAGCAAATTTCTCTTCCAGAACTATTAATTTAGATATAACCATACAAGTTAGTCACGATGCTGATTTGAGATAACTTAAGTGCCCACAGCCTTCGTCAAAATCATGTAGCAAGCTATTCTTTTCACTCAGCATGGTGTCTATATAAATGTGTCATGTCTGTAAAGATACAATGTCTAGTATTCATTCAAAACATTTTTATTTGACTAAACATTCACTACAACTAAATGCATTATTTTTCTACATAGTTGCCACTATTCTCCAAATACTTGTTAAGTCTGGGTACTAGCTTCTGTATCCCGGTCATAGAATTCGGCCCTACTATGAAATGCGGTTCTACTGTTGTCAGAATTGCATTTCAACTTCATTTTCGATCTCATCAACGTCATGGATGTGTTGTCCTGCAAGATGCTTCTTTAGATAAATAAACAAGTGGAAGTCACTGGGAGCAATGTCTGGGCTGTATGGTGGATGGTTGAAAACTTTCCACTTGAATCATTCAAGAAGCATTTTGCTGATAATTGCTATCTTGGCTCGAGCATTGTCATGAAGCAGACCACCAGTTGTCAACATTCCTCTATGTTTGTTTTGAATGGCTTGTTGAAGGCATTGAAAAGTTTGGCAATATGCAGCAGCATTAATTGTGGTGCTGGGAGGCATGAAGTCAATCAGAAGAATGTTTTCTATGTCCTAGAAAACAGAAGCCATGATTTCTTTTTGCTGAAATTGAAGTTTTGAATTTTGTAGGTTTTGGGGAATGTGTATGGCACCATTGCAGCAATTGTTGCTTGGATTTAGGAGTATGGTGGTAAATCCAAGTTTCATCACCATCAGTGTGTTCAAGAAACTCATCTGCATCCATGTAGCATGTGAGGAAGTTTAGTGCAAAACCAATTCGTTTGATTTTTGTGTTCATCCGTTAAAATTTTGGGTACCCAGTGCACACAATTTTTTTACCCTAATGTTACAGTCATAGCTTTATGAAGCGTGACTTAGACATTTCCAAAATGATTTCATGCAATTCTCTTATTGTGAAACACCAATTTGCATGAATTGCAGACAGCCTACCACCCCTGTATTTGTCAGGAACATAGGTCCTGCCTCCAGAGAATGCTTAATACCACTTTTTTACATTTTATCGATTTATGATGTTCTCATAAACAGAAACAATTTGTTTGTGAATATTTGTTGGGTACACACACCTTTTGCATTGAGAAAGTTTATAACAGAGTGCACTTCTCATTTGGTGGGATTCTGAATTGACACAGCCATTGTAAACACATGCTACTAGAACCAGACTCAGTGTATCAATAATGAATGATTGCAAAAAAAGATTGCAAAAGGTTCAGAGTGAAATCGACTGTTGTCAACATATGCACTAAAGCATTAGCTTTCTGCCTATATGCAATGCATCTTTAGTTTTCATACATGCTTTGTGTACTATACGTATCAACTCAAAAACCTGATTTATAGTTAAAACCAAACAAACTGCCAAATTATTTGTTATAATATGGTTAAGTAATTACTTAAATACTAGTTATTAAATTTGCACAAGATGACAGCATAACTGCCTGCTTCTAAGACAAATTATTTAGTATTTAATTAATTACATAGCCATGTTATAGCCTAATAATTTGGAAGTTAATTTGGCTTAAATATAGTTCAAAAACTTCTTGGAGAACCTTCTTAAATAAATCTCCAGTAGGTTACTGTTTCTTTTTATTGATTATTTTGATATGGTGTAATATAGTTCAAAATTTATTTCTAGGAATGGAGCCTTAGTTTATGACACTGACAGGACAAACCAGTGAGAAATTAGTTTGATTTGAAGGCTGTGCACACAGGTGATAAAATTAAAATTATAAAGACATTAGTTTGGTTTATCATTGATGTTTGCAATAATCCCAATGATAGGCCAAATCAGTTCTCTTGATTGTCAAGGTCATAAAAGATGATTGATTGGCTCAGTTGTTAACTCCGTTGCTTTAATTTTGCCACCTGTGTGTATTAGTCTTTATAATGGCTTTCTTAATAGATTTCCAAGGTTTAAGTCATACAGGTTAGGGATTTATTATAATTAAATAAATTATTTTCGAAAGAAGCCCAAAGAACAATAAGCGTACATGTCAAAATTAAAACCTCTAAATTGATTATACGAGTTCTTCCTTATTATAATAAATAAACGTATACATAATGTAGTAAAAAATATATATTCATAAGCAAAAATATACATGCATAACACCGGGTTATTTCATTTAAAATGAATTTTCTTTAATCAAAAATGTATCTATAATTGTCCATGTTTAGTTCAAATTATTTTAACTTAGAAATAGCGTGACATTGGGCAGGTTTCTAAAGGCAATTATCATGCCGCTTTTAAATGTAAATTAGGACTTAATATTAATTGCTTTTCTTATGTAAATGAAAATTATTAATTAAAATTACTATTGTTATAACCTGCTGCTATTTTAAGGAACAGCAATACTGTTGTTTTATTTAATTCACAAAAAATGTAGACAAAAATAATTGAGTTAAGTGGCAAGTAATATGGCAATAGAATGTTTACAAACACAACTTTAAATCACGTGATTTTTTCTATTAAATAAATTTGTGCTCTGGAAATTTAATTATAGGTTCAAATGTGCCGTGAGATAAAAAATGTTGAAAATACTGGTTAGAAAGTACACAAATATTATGGGTTAATAATTGATCTGAAAGCTGTTTAATTTGTATAAAGTTGTATAATATGTGTAATTTCATTTAAAGTATTTGTTTTAAAGTAGCTTTGGTTAATCAAAAATTAGAGACATTATAATTTTCTAATATTTTATCATTCTAAATTTTTACTTCATATTTTTAATAGATTGTTCCTCATGATGAAACGCAAGAAGAGTCCACATGTACATCGAAAAGTTGGTATCTCCAGTGATGGTAATAACACACCAAAGCACTTAACTTTACATACTTCTAGCTCTTCGTTATTTTCAGTTCAAGGTGATACTCATCAAACAATAACTGTTCCTTCAATTTCTAATTTAACATCAACTCCTACAACCTCTATTAGTGTTACCCCTAGCCGAACTGCCGGAGTGAGTTCATTTGTTTCTTGTGATGAGCCAACTGCAGAAGATATGGGAGATACAGTAAGTGTTGTTTCAACATTAATTTAGATATTTAATAATAAACTATTTATAGTAAAAATATTTTACATGAAACATATTTCATACTTTGTATTTTGGAATGAAAAACATATATATATATATATCATTTTAACTCTACTAGCTCATACTTTAAAAACTCTAACTCATTATAATTTATTGAAAAAATGATATTATGTAATGAATCATTGCACAATTTTTCCTTAACAAAATGTCCTATAGTATGTTAACTATCAAATGATTTACTATTTGAAACAATGGATTAGTTGGCCCCAAATCAAGTGAATAAAAATAGCATTTAGTTTTATATTTTTAATTGTAGAAGTTTAGTTAAACTGCTAGTTAAGAAATTTTAACTTAACTTTTTTTTAATCTAAAAAAATATTTTATCAGAAATATTTTTTAGTAAATATTTTTAATCAGATTTTTTTTAGTCAGGTGTCGTTTTCTTTTATCCGAATAAATTTAAAAACATGCATATCAGATTTCTTATCAGGTTGTTTTTTTCAATAAAAATTTGAAATTGTTGTAATTATTTTTATGTAAATTTTAAAAATTAATTACTGTTATTCTTGTATAAATATCGAGTGAGTATTAATTGATTTTAAATTAATTAAAGTTTCAAATTTTTATCTTTATCGAGTAATTTTGATTCAAAATAATTAACTTAAAATTTTTTTTATCATAAATACTATGTTAACAAGCATGCCTTTGAATTTTATTAACGATTTTCTTTTGGAGAATTAACATACTTTCATTAAAAAATGGTTTCACAGAATGTACATACAATAAAATGACATTTAAATTAATGCTTTTGAAAAAAAACTATCTTCATGTTTCATGGATTTAGACACACAAAATTGGATACTTTTTAAGAATTTCTAGTATGAAATTTTGTATATTAAACTTGATAACAAATTACTTAATATTTTTCTGTTAAAGTAAACACAGTATTGTAAATTTTAAAGTCTAAAAGGTTCTTCATACAAATCAGCGTTACAAAGACATTGTCTATCATTACGTTCGATTTTTGAAGTGAATTTTAAAGGTAAAGACTCTTATCAGTAATTAAACTTTTGTTATCAAATTTTGTATTAAATTTAAATTATTATCAGAAATTTGTTGTTATCTTATTCTTGTTAAAAGTGAAGATAGTGCATTTGAAGTAGTAGTTATCATTCTTATTTATTATTATTTTGCTATGTCAATATAACATTAGATCAAATATGTTTCCTTCTTATTACTAATGTTGTTGATAGATATACTGTTTTACTATATTATATTATGAGTAATAATTTAAAATAAAAAGAAATATTGAATTAATTTTACAAATAAAAAACTTAATTGTATCTACCTTAATTAATAATATAATTTTCTATGTTGGCTGTAGTTTTTAACCTACTTCTTATATTACTTCATTTCAAAATAAATAATGATTGAGAACTTTGATTATAAATACTTTTTACATTTGTATAAGTTAGGAAATTTAATACATATATTTTTTAAGTCTAATTGAATTCAGTTGAAAAAATAATAATAAAGAAACACATTATTATTATTACATTAATTCGGCAGGTAATTTTTTAAATGTAAATTAATGTTTTGCATAATTAATAAGCCATAATCAGTTATAATTACCAGCAGACTATTAAAACTGTTTATCTGTTATTTTTCTATACGTTTAAGATTTAGAGAGATTTTTAAGCCAAGATATATAAATTAAATAAATTTTGTCTCATATTTTGGCAAATTTCAAATAAATTTATGTAAAGGTTTCTTATTCCAATAGCAAGACTAACGATCTTTATGACGTCTTGCTTAAATATCCATAATAAACAGAGCAAGATTAAAACAATTCACTTTATTTGCCTAATTTAACTATGCATTTCAGATTGTTAATTATTTTCCAATCCCTCTTCAGGTTCACGACTCCAGTTTTTATTAAACAATTTTCAAGTAAATTTATTTGTATAATAGTAATAATTACAAAATGGTAAATACAACTGTAGGACTGCAATTTTCAAGACAAGGTTAGGAAAGCTTAGAGGCCAGAGTCCCTGATTAACTCTATATGAACTTCCAGTCTGGACCAGAAGTCAAGTGATTTTTTAAAAATTAAAATATGATTAAAAATTGCAGCTCGGCACTTGAAAATTTGAAAATTTCATTAAATTTTTTTTATACAAAAAGTTTATTTTTCAATCATCAATATAATATCCCTTATTAGATATAACCTCATTCCACCTTACAGGCAACTTTTTAATACCTTGTTGGGAAAATTTTCTTGGTTCCGAATCAAACATGCCAACACTGCATTTTTGAGATCTTACTGAGAATTAAAGTTTTCTCCTTCAAGATAATTTTGCAACTTTCGAAATAAGTTTAATCTGAAATAGCAAGGTTTGAGGAATTCGGAATGTATCATTTTTTTCCCAGTTAAATTTCTCTAATTTTTTTAGAACTCTGTGTGGATGGGCATTATCTTGATGGAATAGAACATGTTACCTATTGATCAGTGCTGGACATTTTTCTCTTGGGTCTTTCATCAAACAGTCCAATTTTTGACATTAAACTTTGTAATGGTTTCATTCCTTTTCAGCAGTTTAAAATGTATCATACCTTGGATATCTCACCAAATACCGAGGAATGTCTTCATTGAATGAAGACTAGCTTTCAGCTGAGATGTTGCTTTATCTCCAAGACTGATCTACTGATGACAATGTTTAATATTCTTGTATTGTATCCATTTTTTATCTCCAGTAATGATTTGATCCAAAAAACGGAACTCGGAGATAACAAGAGTGCAATGAAATTCATACATTAATGTGATGTTCAACTTGTGCTGGTGATAGGTCATACGGCACCCATTTTCCCAATTTCAGCACTTTTCCCAACTGTTTCAAATGCGGTTGAATGGATTTGTCTATTTCTTGTAGAAATTCTTGTACTGTTCTGAAGGGTTTATTTTTCACTGGCGTTTACAGTATGTCGGACGGAATTTATGATATAATCTAATATTGTATCTTGGTGGAGTGTATCCTACTAAGTTTACATGCGTGATGCTGGACCAAGGTCAAAGCAGAACAATCTAATAATATGTTTTTATGTGCTGTTCATGTATGTATCTGTGTTTAAGAATTTCTTGATTGTGATGTGTTTTTATGGCAGCTTTCTATAGTGTGATGTAGTTGTGAAACCCTAATGTTTCAAGACTGTGTGAAATCCAGGTTGGTGTTGTGTAAGTGTAATGGCATTCTGTTTTTTCTGCAAGGATTACAGTTTTGTATAATTGTAACATTTTTGTAGGTATCTGTATTTGTTTGTATTTGCATATTTAAAATATTGCTGAGGCCTTGTCCTCCCTATTTCTGGGAGGAAGAGTCATCTTCTCTGTGGACGAGTTAGAGTGGTGTTTGATAATGTTGTTTATGATTTTCTTCGGAGTGTTCTAGTACTATGTATATTTAAACTTTTAATCTTTATTACAAAAAAAAAAGAATGAGTTCTATATAAGTAAAAAGAAGAAATTGTGATTATAACAAAAATATTTTAACAGGAAATCTGTTATTTATTTGACGATAATTTTTCCGAGATTCATAATTTGTGATCCTCATAACAGCTTTAGGACCACACTTTCACGCAACATATACAAAATTTTGAAATCTATCAAATATTTTTTTATAACTTAATTTATGAATCTAATACTCTAAACATTCTTAGGTTACAAAGTCAGAAATATGTCAGACCTTTTACTTTCAAATAAACAAGAATATAGTATTTTTAAATAATAATATTTAAAATTAAGTAATAATTTTGTTTAATATCTTTGCATTTATACCTTTGCTTATATAAAACTAAATTAAAACTATACAATTAAGAAAATATTTTAAAATTACATAGCGTAAAGATTAAAATTTAACAGATCTGACAATTATAATAAATAAAATAATCATTACTAACAATATATTTATTTTCTAACGAGTTAAATATATTTTAAAGGAGCCACTTGCACCTTCTAATGTGCTGTCGAATGGCAGTATGGACACTTTAAATGTAACAAGTGTGTCGTATGGCGGTAGTCCGCAAATGCAAGGTGACGAAACCGATGGACAAAGTCATACTCCTGATATTCATCGCACTCGTGCTGCTATTGAACACGTCCAACAAAAGATTATCCGTACCAGAGAGCTTATCAAAGATGAACAAACAACCAGAGATGGTAAGAAAATTATAACTTTTTACAGTGTTTATTTTTCAAAACATAGATATTAATTGTTACTTTTCCGGCTGTTATATATAACAGAGGGAAAATATGGCAATCACTCAAAAAATGATCCCTTAAGACTTTAAAATTTTTGGACTTAGGACACCTTGAAATGTCAAGAAATGCAAAAAAATTCGGGGGTTATTTCTGTATGTATGGATGTTTTTGTGTGTGTGGGGTGCAATTTTGTTCATCCACCCTCTTTGAAGCTTAATAACTCCTGTGCTTTTTGTCAAAAATTTTTGAAGTTTTGTAGGGAGGTTTGTTTATTAGGGAGATTGATGCTATTAAATTTTGGTAGTCGAAGATTAACAGGGTGGGGAGATAAAGGGGGTCGTGTGTATCTCTAGTAGGATTAGACTTAATGAAGATTTTACTTGTTATTAGCATTTACAATTTTTTATAAAATCCATCCCTACCCTCAAAGTTAAGGTTTTTGCCATTTTATAATAGCTAAAAATATAAAAAGTTTTTAAAATAAAGTATGGTAAGAGATGGTGCCACCAAAATTTTAAATGTTGCTGGGAAAGTTGAGCAACTTGTTGCTGGTGTAAGTTTTATTTTCTCAATGTGAAGTTAAGTTAACATAAAATTTGATTCTTGTACAATGTTCATAGGCTGTTCAAATATTACATTATTCTAATTTTCCATGACAATCATTCCTTTTGTTTTCACAATAATTATATTATTATCTGCGAAATTATTTACAAGATTATCCTACCGTCAGTATACAATTAAAAATATGGGGAAGGGTACACGCTAAAACAGGAGAAGTTCCTTGGAGACTCATCTCACATAATCACTGTCTTTTCTTAGCTGTTGGGTCAATTCAAATCCAGTCCGTTTCATTTTTATAAATATAGATTAGTATTATTAGAATATATTATTATTATATCTGAAGTACAGAGCTCCTGTTGGGATTCGGCTTGCTCCCTTGCTTATTACGTACATCACCTCAGTGCAAGGTATTTACATTTATTCAAGTGTTGTGCAAATCATGGTTTCTAAAAAACAGAAAGGTGATTTCAATTGAAACAAAGCAAGAAATCAGAAGGAGTGAAAGTTGACAAAAACTTTCTTGTCAAATGGGGAGAGGTTCAGGAGTATACTAACACTCATTATCCAAACATAGCTGAGGCCAGCAGGATCAATGGTCTCTATAATGACACCCTTGCCTGTCATTTGTGACAGGTGTTGAAGAGAGAGAAACAGACCACCTTGGACATGTTTTTCAATAAGTCAGTTGCCAAAAAACAAAGGATGGAACAAGAGGAGTTGACCCTGCAAGCTCCAGTAGCCTCTCTTGAATCCGATTAAAAAACAATAAAAAGAGACCTGCTGCAATGTGTAAAAAGTCTGTATCTGTATGAATGAGTGAAGAAAGTGTTTCTCCACCTCCTCCTCACAACATCTGACTACCCAGCATAATTGGTGACTGCTCAATTATCATTTTTTTTATGATACAGTATGGTTATTTTATGAATTATATGTTTTAACATGTATTTCTATGGGAAAATGCATTTCGTATACTGGACTTTTCACTTAACAGACGTGCACCTGGAATGGATTAAGTATATTATACGAGGCACCACTGTACTATTATATTTACATAAGACACCACATAATTTTTTTCAGTTGTTAAAGTGTAATTTTAGGATTGATTTAAATTTCTGCAAGAGTTTTAAATAATTAAAAATTCTTCATCCCTATTTCTCTTTTCGAAATTTTTATTTTTCATTAAGCTGTTTTCATTAAATAAGTTCAAAAATAAATTTAATGTAACATGGAAGTCCACATCTTTTGCCATTTTTATTGTTTTTCTCTCCCAAAATTCCAAGCAGTCAGCGTTTGTGTTCTCTAGAAAACGCCAGCAGTTGCATCACTTCTAGCAGCATCTCACTGGATTAATGCTGAGATTTTGAACATGCCCAATTTCATTGCTTTCCTTTCCTTTTAGTTCCATCATGGAAAATTCCATGTTAAATATTCATTTATTCTTTACATTAGTCTTTTATATTCATTTTAAATTAATTTCTTATTGTGTTTAGTATTAAACACTATATTTATTCTCTATAAAATGTGTTTATGGTATGTATTTTTGAGTGTCTAGAATGAATTAATTGGATTTACATAGATTTATATAGAAGTAATTGCCTCAGTTTTTGTCGGTTTTGTATTTTGCCAATTGTTTTTGGACAGATTATCGATGAAAACTGAGATATTACTGTAAAGACAATCCTCACTTTGCATGGCAATGTGATACCATAAAAATGTACATGCAAGCTAAAATCATGCAAATCAATATTAATCATAATTTTTCCCATTGAGCAATGTTTTATAATCTTTAAGAAAATTTGTTAAAACTTATTTTAATTACATTCTTTTTTGTTTCTTTTCTGTGCTTTTTTGTTGGCCAATTTCCCTCATTTAATTATATATTTTTGGAAACGTTATATGGCATTATCACTGGGAGGCTAAGATGTTAAAATGCCATCACAAGATTGCTGTCTGTGCTTAAATTGAATAACAGATGCACAGGAGTGAAGTTTATATTTCATGCAATTATGCAATTACCCATAATTAATATATACTATGTAATATATAATATACTGTGATAACAGAAATTTTTTCATATTTAAACTGAAAAGCAACATTGTTTTCTGTTTTTATCATAATTCAACAAAATTACTTTTTTTAAAGCTTTTGTTATTGCTTAAATTTTATATATCTGTTAGGCTCAAAGACCGAAATTGCTCATTGAGCAAAAAAAAGACCACAAAGTGAAATTTGCGTCATGGCTTTCATGATATTTGACCACTACGCATTGTGGTGATTAAGAAAAGCCATAACGCATTCTGAACGTTAGCTGATGCAACCACAATACGAAGAATAGGTTGTAACTTGTCAACGGGTGTATTGCAAATACTTGCAGAGATTGTATCGTGTTCATTTTTTACCAGTGCTACTGTTTCTAAGATAATTATCCTTTTCTAGAGAAATTTCAACCTCTCAGAGTAATGTTTCAGATAGTCTTATATTTAGGGTAAATCTAGGGTAAAACTATCCTGTGTTCTGATGCTATTACTCATCGCTCCACAAGTTTTGCTGGAAAAAGTTTTAGCCTAAAACCATTCAGTTTTTCCCTATAACTGGAGGGTTTTAGGATAGGACAACAGAAGCTAAAGAAATAAATCAAATTTATGCTAGGTACTTGGGTGTACACTGTACAGTGATACTTCGGTTTTCATCGGTAATTCGTCCGAAAACAATTGGCGAAATCCGAAACCAACGATAACTGGAAGTCAGTGAAACCGAGATATTACTGTATATTACACCCAAGTAGGATTTCGCTTTTCTCAACCTTCATGTCATTGAGCCATTGGCACTCTCCATATCAGATGGAAATTAATACCTCTGATAAAGCTTAAAAATCCTAAGACATTTTAGTTATTAAAATTTTCAAAAATAATGAATTAAGAATTGTTCTGATTATTTCACAATAATAGTACAGGGATCTGTGTAATAGAATCGTTGTCTTATTTTTTTTTTTTTATTAGAGCTTGAGCTCGGAGAGTTTTCTCAATTTAGGGTAATTTTCTGCAGTTGAAATTGGTTCGATTGTTTTAGTTAGGGTGCCTAATGTTAATAGGGGACGTGCAGCTCCCAGAAATGTTTTAGCTGTTGTTATGAGCATTAATCCATCAGGTCTCTGTCAGTTAGGAAACAAGGAAAGTCTTCTTGATCGACTTTATGCTCGTAATGAATTTACAATTTCTACAATAACTTTATTAACATTCAGGACGTACCCTCAACTTTATTAACACTTTGCTCAGCATTCATGTTAACATCTGGAAGTAAGCAAGGGTTTATAATGTGTCACTGTAAAAGATACTGTATTTGATAAAAATGCAAATGTTGCTCAAAGAACATAAAATGCATGAATAATTAAATGTTGTTGTAAAGTAACCAAATTAAATTTCTGTATATGATGAATAATTTTGTTACCTGCATATATAAGATGATTGAAGATAAATAGATCATAATGAAAAAGAAAGTTTTATTTTCTTATCACCTCGTTATTAGTTAATATCCAGAACGTGTGGTGGCTTTTAACCATAATAAATCCATCGCACAGTGGTTTTTAACTTTAGCAGCTGATTTTTATTTTATCGTGTATCAAGCACCTACAATTATATGTAGTTAGATCTTTAGCACTTTTTAGCAAAACAAAAGAAGCAAATGTGTATTTTTCTCCATATATTTTATTTCTTTGGAATTTTTTTAAGTATGAAAATTAAATTTCTAGGAAAACTTATAGAACTAATGTTGTTCGGCATTAAAAATTGTGAATAAAAATGTTTTGAGACTAGAATCCATATTTTAAAGTTACAAACCACTGTGCGTTGTATGATCCTATATCGTGGTTCAGAACGCGTTATGGCTTTTCTTATTCACCACAACGTGTAGTGGTCAAATATCATGAAAGCCACGATGCAAATTTCACTTTGTGGTCGTTTTGAGTTAGCCAGAATGCATTGTGGCCATTTTTACAACTGCCACAATGCGAATTTTGCTTCATGTCTGTTTTGAAACGACCACAACACATGGGCATTTTTTTTTGCTCAATGAGCGATTTCGGTCTTTGAGCCTAACATATCCAAGTATAATTGAAAATTGTTGGTCTTTTTTAATTAATCTCTTATTTGAGTGCCAGGAAAGTTGAGCAAGAGTCCTTGCCAGCTTTTTTATTAGGAATCTTTAACAAAACTTCTAAAGATTTTTAAACTGGAATTAGTCAACATATTCAGGACCTAGTGGTCTGGCCCCATTTCTCATCACCCAGCTGTCCATTGTGTGTGCCCACCAGTGGCAGAGTGAATAAAACCACTGAACGTTGGTAGTTGGTCACAGGTTTGTCTTGCAATGGGATGGTCATGTGGAGTTTTCTGGGTTTTCTTTACATTGGTAACAAATAAATAGAGGCTAGTTTCCCATAAAATACCTCCTAGGAGGCACTTTTCCTCAGCAGATCACCATGTGTCACATTGTACATCAATAAAACCAAAACCAAAATTCATTGTGGGCCTAGCCAAATCCATGATGGACATGAATTAAAGGCCTTCTTAATGCCCACAACATAGAAAGTGTAAAAAGAAATAATAATAATAACAAAAACAAGTTTATGAACCCCAAAAGAAGAATTGGTGATTCTCATTTGTGAATTGCTGTTGTAGGCAGCGAGTTAGAATCCTTATTGTTTCACATTTTGCCCATACTCTTCCTATATATACAAGTTTCTATATATATTTTGGATTTTCTTCTCCTGTAATTTTTTTACTTAGTTTGCTATGGTCTCATTTGATCTGACTAGAATACTCCAGCACATTTAAATTGGCAACAATTCTCATTGTTTGAATATTAATCCCTATAAACGAATTTATTATGAATATTTATATCTATATATTTATTTATTTATATTAATTTATTTCTTAATTATCAAATTTACATATTTTATCATCATGTATTTTTTGACAATGAGACATTTGTGAAAATCTTTATTCTTTATTTTGATAGTATAACATTTTAATACATTCCTTAAAGGTTTAATGTATTAATTATTCTTATTTTAGAAAATGTTAACGAATATTTAAAGCTAGCCGCAAATGCAGACAGACAACAGTTACAAAGGATTAAAAGTGTATTTGAAAAGAAGAATCAGAAATCTGCCCAAACTATAGCACAGTTGCAAAAAAAATTGGAAAATTATAACAAACGAATTAAAGATTTGGAGACACATGGCTTGTCTAGTAGTCATTGGCAACCACGAGAAGTATTGCGTGATATGGGACAAGGTTTAAAGTAAGTTTATATAATATATTTTGATATAAGTTAAAATACTTTTTGAAATATCTTTTCATCGATTTTATCCAAACTTTCTGTTAATTTTTAATTAGTAGCGTTATTAATTTAAAGCATATTTATTGTTAAAATTATTAGAATATACATTCATTGACAAAAAGTTACACACCTAGATAAAATTGTCTGATGATTACTGCAAAATTCAGTATACAACTTGTCTTAGACAGGTATGTAAACAATTACAGTTGTAGTCCTACTAAATGTAGGTGGACTACATCTACAGTTGTAGTCCAACAGTGGATATGTGAGGCCATGCACACAACAGGCAGATTCTGCACATTCTGGATAACCTATCAGGAGAGACAATCATCTTATCATATGGACAAGCACAAAAGTCTCCATTGCACCTGAACAGCAGGATAGCAGAAGACTCATTACAGAACTCTCTTTTTCCAGAATTGTTAGATGACTGTCAGAGGCTTGCATACATGGTGACCACTATTTGTCCTTCCATTAGCATCTAATGTTATCTAGGATTTTACTTAAAATCTTTGAATAGTGAAATGTCTTGTGCAAGCCTCATTATTGAATATTTTAAAACTGCATATAATTTGCAAGTCGTACTTAAACTATCATTGTTGTATACACATTTATTGATAAAAAGTTACATAAGAAAAGAAGGCATTGAAATCTAATGAAACTATATGAGTGCAAATATAACTATGATAATAAATGGTTACAATATAGGCATAATTTTTGTGGAAAACATTAAAATTTAAAGGAACCTTTAATACCTTGTACAATCTTCTTTTACTTTCATATATGCAAAGATACAATTGGACATAGAGGCATACAAGCACCTAATGCTATCCTACAGGATTTGCATGCATACGTTACAACTGTTGCTCCAGATTCTTCATGCTAGCTTTGGCCTTTAGATGGCCAAAGCTGGCATTCCATCTGGTCCTACAAATGCTTGATGAACAACAAATTTGGATACTAAAAATGCAACAATGTGACTGATATTTCTGGAAAACCTAACTGTGTGTCCAAGCATTATCTTACTGGAAAGTGGCTGTTTTCAGCCTTGCCATGAAAGGTAACATGAGGGCATAGGATTTTCTGAACATGTTGCTGTACTATCAATGTCCCTTGCACCACTACTAGGGATGATGAACAAGATCTCCCCAGATCAGCATGCCAGCAGTGAGGACAGTGTGCTGTTCAAAAGTAAAGGTGGGAGTGCAGAACTCACTAGCACTCCACTTTCAAACAGAACCAGATTCACTGCTAAAGATGATATGCTGCCAGTCTGTAGCAGTATGTGCTTCTGTCATAGTACCACTACAAACAAAGTTGATGGTGTTAATTGTTAGGATGATTAGAATTGATATGTATACATTAAATTTACTTTTTATCCTCAGTTTTTGTCAACGTGTCTTCCTCAAATATGATTTTCAAAACACACGTACAGTCGACCCCCCTATAACGTACGTTCCTATAACGACAATTCCTATAACGTAGCGAAAAAATTGTAGAAACTTTCGTATAACGTACCTCCTATAACTTCGTTTCGCGAGAAGATTGATAGAGTCTGGACCAATAGTGGATGAGCAGCCGAACTACTTACCTCCGACCCTGCGCCACGCTACGGAGCGGCTAAATTGAGTTTGCTATCGTCTGTTTAGTATTATATATAAATTATATATAAATTAGGTACTGTACATATAATTATATATTAATTATATATAAATTAGGTACTGTATATATAATTATATATTAACTTAATTTATTGTAACTTTATTATAATTATATATATGCTTTCTGCCGCCTGGCAACACGCTACGGAGATTTTAGGCTAGTAAGTTGAGTTTATTATCGTCTGCACAGTATGTAAATTAGGTACCGTAAGTCTAATACAGCACTAATTTTATACATTTCTTGTGAAAGAAACACTTCTTATTCAACGGCCATAAAAATTATTTATATTAATGATGTCTCCAAAGGTCAAGTTATCTTTCTGCGATAAATTATTTATCAGATATCGCGGCCGCCGTTTCGTGTGCTGTTCCGCGACGAAGACAAGCTTTGAACAACGGGCGTAGTCGAACGGTACACACTCGGTAAGTAATCCTATAATTTTTTGTTTATAGCATAGTTTATACGGATTACTCCCAAAAAATTATACGTGTTTTGGAAATGTTGAGTCGAATTAGTCTAGAATCGGTTAATTTTATAGAAGAAAACCTTTCGAACAGCCTTAGTCCGTAAAGTTCCCACCTATCGGGCTGCGATTGGCTCATGTATTTAATCGTTCCTACAACGTAATTTTCGGTTAGCGTGGAACGTATCTAAGCGTTATAGGGGGGTCTACTGTAGTTACCATCTCTTATGTAACACAATCTTAATGATTATTATAATAAAAAGTATATAATTAAAGTTTTGCATTTTGTTTTATATTTGAAACTGTCTTTTTGAAATTATTGAGGTAAAACTCAATATTTACAAAGACAGTTTCAAATATAAAACAGTTGACAAATCATTAATGATTTAAATTCATATACAAATTTGAAATATTGTTAAAATGAAGTAGAGAAATTTATATAGTCAAATTAATTTTTAAAATTTTATATAGTGAATGCCCATTTTACAACTGTGTACTTTACAAAATCTGGGACAAATTTTTGTTCTCCATCTCAGTATAATATTAAGGATTGATAAATAAGGTTAGTATTTTTATAAAATTAGTTTTGGTAGAGAGAAAGAGAATAAGACAATCACTTTTAGAAAGTAATGTCATTTATTTTAATCATACAGTATGGCTTTGTTTCCTCTTTTTTTTATAAAGATTCACATTAACAAACATTTCAAAATCAATAGCATTAATTCAAGCACATGACAAAAAACAAAAGCATAAATGCAACACGTAGGCACTGTAATACTATAGTTGCTAACAAAGTTGGAGATGTTTTTGTGAAAAAAGATTTTTGGATATCCTGTAATATTCTTAAGAGCATAACAAGCATTTCAGCAACATGGGAAGAAATGTCAGTCATTTATGTATACTATACTATACTATACTATAATTTGACTTTTCTGGGTTTGAAACTGTTTCACATAAAGCTGATGTTTGGAATGGCCAGGAATGTTGACTGTAGGAATTTTGATATTGATTATGCCAATGAATTGTTAGAAAGCCATAGAGAGAGACTTTCAGAAGAGATTTTGGAAGATCTGGCAGCTCAACTTGCTAAAGATGACAAATAACTTTAGGAAATGGTACCACTTTTAAGTGCCTTTGTAAGCTCTTATCACAAAGGCACTTAAAGAAATTTTAAAACAGATACAAACTGCCTGTGAATTTCTTGGAGAAGAGAAGGAAAAAAGCCCAACAGACATCCTTACTCTAAAGTTCTTAATCAGAAAAAAAACTCAGCCTGTTGACTTAAATAACCCTCAATTTACCTATCTCGTTAAGGTTTCTTCATTATGTCACTGTTTTCAATTACGTTTTTAATTTATAGCTTTTGTCTTATTTTATAATTATTTTACATAAATAATAAATTAAATACATAGTTGCTGGTATTGTTTTGGTTGTGTATGTTTAATATTTATAAATAAAATAAGTAAAAATTTACAGTTTGTTGAAGTAGGAATCACCATTTATTCTATTTCAAGGTTCTGGAATACACTTTTGATGATTGACTTTTCTTTGTAGGTTACTTGGCCATCAAAATTAAAAACTTTCTTTAAAAATGATGAAAAAATAGTCTAATTAAAAATATTGCTTGGGAACTGTAGTTTATATCCACTAAAAACAAGTACTGATACAAAAAAAAAAAAATACTTTTTAGTAGTTGATTTCCACACTAAAGAAACTAATCTCATATAAATATATTATAATTTTGCTTTAATTTATGAATGATTCACTTCACGAACAGTGGACTGAAACCTAGCGTGTTCATAAAATGAGGTCTTACTGTATTTTGATGACCAGATGGCTGATGCTGCCTCAGCCATCACTCTGGGGAATCCAGAATTGAATCTGGGCAAGTAGACTCCTGAATTTTTCAAGGGTGGTTTATCACAGATGTGTCTGGCATCATTTCTTACCACTTGGCCATCTCCATTGTGGGACTGATTGAATCCACGATAGGCATGAATAAAAGACATTCTTAGTGCCCAGTTCATTTCTATGCAACAACTTGAACTTTTCCTCCATTGAAAAGCATTAATCTTACAACATTGTCTTTAATTTTGGGATAATAGGATTTTTAGTACTACTAAAAACTGGTCAGATTATTCTATTTCTGTTTGAGTTAATTTTATAAAAATAAGAGATCTTATTTATCAAAAAGATCTTTGTATCATATTGTTCAAGTTGTATTTTCACAAATTTAATTCCTGTTTTATGAGAAATAATTAATGAACTGCTGGTTCACTTGATAATGGTTTGACAGGATCATAAAAGTGGTGATCTATTTTATTTGCATATAAATCAATGATTTTAAAATCATAATGTATTTTCAAACTATCTATAATTTATTTTTAATATATTTAATTTTTTTTTCAGAGATGTAGGTGCTAATATTAAGGAAGGAATTACTGGATTTTCAGGGTAAGTTAAAAATTTATTTTTTTATCTATATCTGTACATAATATGTAAAAAAATGTGATTTTAATTAGAAAATATGGGTAAAATTTTTAATATTTCTTATTTAAATACTGTCTGAAATAAAACATTTATTATTTTACAGTAGATTCTGCTTATTGTAGTCAAGGATATTGTTATTAGCAGGTCCTAGAACATGCAAATTAAAATGCATTATTAAAACTTGCCTTATTGTAATCAAAATTTGGTTATTGTTGTCATAATCCTTAAAAAAAAACTTTTTATGCTCTCTTTTCATAATATCAGCCTCAGCATGTGGGCTGTGGCTGATGACATGTAATTATTATCATTTATTATTATCAGTTTTACTAGTACTTTAAGTGTAAAATTTATTATTAACGAACAATTATTTATTGAGACATTGTCACAATGCTAGGCTGCAAGTTTTAATTTATTTAATTTAAAATATATAGTCTCAACCTCAAATTATACTATAGTGTCTTACTCCTGTACATCATACTTTTTCATTAGCAATGGCGTCTTACCAGTTATCTATCTAACTCCTTTCAGGAGAAAAGTTTTTAATTGAAATAACATGACTTCTGGTTGCATCAGAAGTTTGTATATAGTTAATTAGGGTCTCTCACATCTGAATTTCATTTATCAGGGCAGATTCAATTCAATACTAATAACACAGCTGAATGTAAAACATACATTTAAATGTCCCAATACTGACATATTCATTTGGAGTTATATATTGGACACATACAGAACTAGAACAACTCCAAAGGAAAATGCAAACAACATTAATAAAAGCATAACAAACATCATCCATTCAGGATGGTGTTAAATCCTTGACTTCTCATAAATAGCCTTTCTATCAATGATTTAGAATGGTGTTTGTTGTGATAGTTATATAAAGCAGTTTTAGGCCTAGAAGGAGCTCCAGTCTTTGCCAAGATCACATTGACAAAACTGTATCAAACTGCTAGCTGGCTTGGAAGTGCCTCATCGGAGAGATGGAAAGGTTTATAATTATCATACAAGACCATATCATATCACATCACACTGCAAACTTTTAATACACACTGATTTTTAATACACACTTTTAATACACACTGACACACTGCAAATTTTTAATACACATGAAATAAAGCATCTGTATGGATGCTTTATTTCATGCACAAGTTTGAATATGCATTAATGGATAAGGTACTTACTTATCATGCCTGTAGCCCTTTCTGGCATGGGGTTTTTACTCCATACATTATCAAAGGTCTAGAAACATTCTGTTTTAACAACAGTGCATACATCGCATTACAGAAAGTAATCATACTAAATGGATGTCACATAGAAAATATTGAATTTTTTTTAAACCTACATCTTGACTTTAGTCCAGCATAGCATTAGGGACTGGTGTTGACTGAGTATGACACAATCTACGAATAACATAATTGTAATTAATAAATCTTCGAGATATATATATATATTTTAATTACCTTAACATATCCCTTTTAACGTTAGTCAATGAAATCAGAATTTCCTATAATTTAGTCGTCTTTACTTACCCTGCTTAATGTTATCAATCAGTTATCATCATCAGTTTAAGTAAATCTCAGTGTTTACAATAAGTGGAATCTACTGTAGTATGCAAAAGTAAATAGATGTTCATGTTTTAAATGAAATTTTTATATTTTCACCATATTAATACTACTCATAAAATTTCATTTTTAATCTTTATAATCTTTTGTAATTTATTTCATAATAGTTAAATTATATTCTTTCCAGAACTTTAAAAATTTTAAGTTAATTTATAATTTAAGTTAAATCATTTTAAATCTCTCTTCTCCATAATCCATTAATATTCAGTAAACCGGTATAATTTTTATTCAGTAAGTATTTAAAATTTTATTTATTCATTTTCTTCAAAGAAATAGCTATTTAATTTTAAAACATTGGATATTTTTTATATTTCGAATATTTTCTTTTTTATAGTAAAAGGCATTTACCCCATAGAATAATGCCAAAAACTTTAATGTAGCTTACCTGATCAAAAATACGTAAATATAAACGTTCATATCTAATATATAATTTGATACGTAAAAACAATGTTTACAAATTCTGTTAGTGAAATAGTAGATAGACTAAGAGGCCCATTTATTCTCTTAGAATTGTTCTTGGTATTTCAGTCCTGCATTAGCGCACCAAACTTTTATTATTTTTACGAATCACTATCAAGTTCTATTTGGTATGGCGATGTCGGAATAAAATAGTCCAAAAATTTCTAGAAGAATAAATATTTAGGTTTCCTTAAACAGTTACTATCAAAATATTTGAATATCAAGTTTTACACGATTCTTTGAAAAGTTTTATTTATATTGCATCATAAATTGTGAGAGACTTTTTCTTTTTTTTATATCCGTTTATATGACGAATATAATGATAAATTTGATTGTTATCATAAATAAATAAATATTTAAATGAAATCAGCTAAGTGCCAGCAGTTCTTTGTTTTCGTGATAAAGTGAGAGAAGTAAAAATGTTTTTAGAATGGACATTGAATATAAAATTACAGTGAGCTCCTGTATAACACGCATCTCTATAATGTGAATTTATGTAATGTGACCAAAAAATTGTGACTAGTACTCGTACAAAATTCTAATTTTGTCGTCCAGAGGAATACGCTTTCTTCTCCAACTTCTAGGTCTAGATTTAAACTTGCATGAAATCATCTGTCAATAATGCAATTTCCTGAAACATAGAACCTATCGCCATGCATTGTACAGGACTGTGCCGTACAATCAAATTTATATTTAAATAAAATTTTCCAACCTTGATTAATTAATAATTTCAAAAGTAGATTTGGTAAGCTGGCATATAAGTGATTTAACTTCAGTCGCATACCGACAATTTCAGTAATTTTTCTAAAGTTTTTATTGGAGTGAAGGCATATTTTTACTTCATGATAACTTTTGTAACATATTTATTTCACTAAATTCTATTTTTATGTTTACTTTTATAAAATAATTCTGATACACAATTTTTTATAGAAGCATTGAATAGAGAAACTGTAATTGTGAAACTGCTTTAATTATTGAAAGTTTTTAATTGATTTGATGATAGAATAAAGAAGAAATTTCTTTAACTGATCTATTTATGTATTTAATATGAACAAAGAATTTTATGATTTAACTTTTTAAAGGATTTTTGTAAAATTTTGGAACTTGCTCGTTTCTATTTGGTTAGTATTATAGAAATAGTATTAGATTAAATTATGAATTGTGGAAATCATATGTCATAAGTTTATTAATATATAATATGAATATTTTTTTTTTTTTTTTGTAAATAGAATAAGTTATTTTAAAATTTTAATAGTAACTTTACAATAATCATTTGGGAAGTAGGATATGGTATCCATATCAGCATGGTGTGAGTTATATTCATCATCAATATTATGTTGATATTAGTGTTTTAATATTTATCTATGTATGCCATTTCTCCCACGTGTGTTTTTTTTCCTGCTTTAAACTTTATATATTGCACGTGCAGATAAGTTACGGAAAAATTTATAACAACATTGTTGGTGTTTACAATAAATCTTAATAATACGAATGTAAAAATACGCAGGTGGTATTTGGAAAAACCTCACAAAACATAGGATCATTTGATAAAATTTAACTGAAAAGTACAGAACATAATTTTTGTTAGTTTGAATGACGACGATTGACAAATTTCATTTAAATAATTGATATCATTTCTCGTTAATCTAATAAATTAATCCAAATACCTAATTGCTAAATTTACTGAACAATAATAAAAAACTGGGATTTGGATTAATGCTAATAAATTACGTTTGATGATTGCTTACCCGATAAATTAATTTTGCGGTTACAAAAAAATTTCGACATTACAATTAAAATGCGTATACAGTCAAACTTGGATAATTTGAAGTTCGAGAGGAGTGCAAGGTAATTTGAATTAAATAATTTTACTGATAGTTATTAAGTAATACAGAGAAAATGTAATTACTTTGGTCGTCACATTTTCTTGTTTGGCTTAATTCACACAGAGAGAATTTCTGGCGAAAGTGAAAAACAGAATGGATGACACGTCATAGACAACGTTGTTTTTGGCAAATTGCTCAGATATTCGGAACTGGTAAGTTCCAAACTGCGATCTAAATATTGGTTGAGTGAAAAAATTAAGTGAATGAGTGAAAAATTTTTCAACTTATCACTGTATCATTTGTTGTCAGGTGTTTCTAGTGGTCTTTAAGATGGTTACAAAATCATCACGCAACAGAATAGACATCAAAATTAATCTGATATTCTTGCAATTCACACTTTTTAAACATTTCTCTCACCTAACATGGTTTACTTTTTAACATATCCGTAGTTTTTCTTTTTTGTAACAAATATGCAACGGTGGTTAAAAACAGAATGTCGGAAGTATTTTTGTTTTTACCAATGATGTTTCTCTCTTGCTTGTAAACGATTGGCTGCTCAAAATTCGAAATATCTTCTCTCTTTTTGTAGTCCAGACTAGTTTTGCATTCGTTTTTCACTCTTTGAATTCGCTATTTGCTCGGCGTGAACTAAGCTAGTCCAGCTTCAAATTATCCAAAAATTAAAAAAAAAATTCAAATTAAACTGGTAATTTTTACATTACATTTATTAGGAAACCCGAGTTTAAAGACGTTTAACGGTATATATAAATACATTGAAGTGATTAAAATGCAAGAATTCATTCATATTTATGAAATTTAAATTTGAAGTTAGATGATACAGACTTTGTAGTACTTTGGTTGAGTTATATGAAGTTTAAGTTTTCATTTGGGATGATCAGGACAAGAATTATTTTTATCTTTTCTTGTTTTTAATATATGTAATTGCTACTATTACAGTTACATCTTAGATATATATAAGGGGAAGAAGGCACAGAAAAAGTCTCTTTCCCTTAAAAGTATTATTAAAATAGGGGAAAACTTATGAACCTAATAATTATTATTATTATATATATAAGAAAATCACTTAAGTAACCAAATATTCCATTTATTAACGTTATACTTTATTCAAGTAATTTTTTTAATATATAAATGGTTTATTTAATAAGATTCATATATTTAAAATTAACTAAAAATAGTTTCATAATTTTATTATTTTCATTTATAATTATAAAACAGCTATCTTGTGGGAGGATCTCTTGCAACAATGACTATTTTAGGAAGAATTGAGATTTACATTTATAGAATTGAAATTCTGTCGCTACATAAAATGTTATTAATGTTATTTATTATTCGGACTCTGCCTTTCTTCCTAAATTACTTACTTTTGAAATATCGAATACATATACTTTGCATATTTAAGACAATGTTGGAAAACAGCTGTATATGATAGCATTTATAATGAAACAGGACAGTCATGTCTAAACCGAGAGAGTTTGCCCATTTAATCAAGAATCGATTTGGAAGCGCAGATAATATTAGTTCATTGGAGAGTAAGCAAAAGTTTTTTATTACTAAATTTTATTGTTGATAATTTCAATGGTTTTTAACTCTTTTCCTTAAAAATTCTAAAGATATATTTTTTAAATACAGGCTTGAATTTTTCATTAAAAAATTTATACGATTTAATCGCTAGTTATTACGTGACAAAAGTTCAGTATAGGTCGACCGTCGCTAATCTGGCACTAATTTTGACTAGCGTAACTTCAAATCTCCCATGTTGCCACTACCGTTTGGGGTGTCAACGTTGCCGAATGTACGATTGGGGGCAAAATATACAGTAATTTGATGAGAATTTTCATTTAGTGTTTGTTTTTTTCTTTATTGACCAACTTCTACTAATTTACAGGGTATTTTAAAGGTAGGATGAAGTGGTTAGCTGTTGAGTGTATTCTAACTTAACTGTCAACAATCGGACAAAATCACTTATACGGCACCCTATAGGTTCCAATGATGTCAGATTAGTGATGGTCAACCTGTATATCATTTGAAAAAATGGGAATTGAATATTGTATGAATATTTTCAGAAATGTTTAAATTCTACCTTTAGTTTAACTTATTAAATATTCTTATAGAACAGTTTTAAGAAGCAAAATCATTTTAGAACAATTTCAAAAACTTCTTTAAAACAAACATATTAGGTTCTGTAAGTATTATTCAAGTGTAATAACTATATAATAAAACATACCTTTTGATTTACAGTATTATAACTTTAGATTAATCAAGTGTAAGTTATTCAAGAAGGATTTCACTTTTAAACTGTCCTACAAGAATGTAAGGCAATTTTTGGGTAACTAATTAAAGAATTGCAAAATTTATATGATATTCAAACTTAAACTTTTGGCAATATGCTGATTATTTTTATTTGTTAAGTAATAAACCAAAAAATGACAACTTACAAGGAGAATGTCTGTACTTGCATAGTACTAATATTTATGTGGTAGCTAGGCACGTGCTGTTTACCCACATAAGAGGATATTTTGCTACATTTAGTATTTCTATTTTTTCATAAGAAAGCAAAACACAGACTATATTATGAGCATTAATTTATTTTAAATGATGCTCTGTTGACGTGACATCATATCGACTAACGACGAGGACGGTGGTTTCTGCAAAAATTGGAAAAAGTACAATGGCGCAAACAAAGATAAATTTGGACAGGCACTTGGCAATAGTGGTGTAGAAATACTAGAGAATGTGTGCAAGAGCCTGGCATCTGGTAGTGTGAGGAGGAGGAGAAGGAGGCAATGATGGCAAATTGTACAGCATCGCCAGAATGGTTCTTTGCCAAAAAACCGACTAACTAGAAAATATGGCAAACTCAAAGTTGTGCTAAACTTTGCTAAGGCATATTAAGTGCTGATGAAAGTAAAATCTTTTTTTAATGAACAAGGCACAAGTGTTGGTGATCACAAAAGCATTCTAAGCCTTGAAAAATTGTACCTCAAATTGCATTATAAGGTTTGCATGAAACGAATGTCAAGGATTCTTTCAGCAAGAGTTAGAGTTTTAGAAATAATATAATGCCATATCATATACTTAAAAGAATAATAATTATCATTAAATTGTTCTTATCTATAACTTTTAATGATTTTCCCAAACTGTTGTTTTTTTCTTATAAGTTATCAAGCATGCAATGCCATAATGTTGTGTCAAAAAACAAACTTTTTGAGAGAGATAAAAAACACTTTTTCTAGTGAATGAATTCATTTCAATTTTACAATAAAATGCTAAAAACTCACTAGGTTACAAATTCTCTGGAATATCAAAATGATATAAATATAAGCTGTAATGTTTTAGATGTCAAACGTTACGTGACTTGCACTCTGACACTTTAAATGTTATAGCTTCACATAAATTCAACTTCAAAATACAGCCACTTACAATGTCACTAGTGCCACAGTATTTCTTTGCAGTAGAAAGCATTGTGTTTAGAATTCAAATCTTCAATAAAACATATTTAGAGAAAAATGACATTTACAACATTATGGCATTGCAGTACTGCGGAAACTCCCATCCTTGGTATTCACCCAGCAGAATGGTGCAAGTTCAGAAAAACAAATGTTTTCAATCTTCTTCTAAGATCTGCTTCAGGTCTCAAATTTAAAATAGCTGGAATGTCTAACATTTTGGTTTTCCAATGTGTCAGGTGCAGAAGAACTTATACAAAAATTCAAATTTAAAATCCTCTGAAATTGACCAATAGGATGTGTCCAAGTGTAGAAATTATAAAATGGTTTTCATAACAGGGTCTGTCGCGCTTGTGAAACATGTCTCTCTTATTTAAAATTTATACGTTTTTCTTTCTACCTGCTTTAAAAATCTCTAGTGCTTCTAGTACTTTAAGTTGGTCTGTGTTTGTTGTTGTTCTAATTAACATAACCCATTGTAAATCAGGTTTAATTTTATTCTCCCTATATACCTGTTGCTAATGACATCCACTGTATTATTTCCAACTCCGACAACAGTTACTCTATCACCTGGGTAAAGGCACATATTGGAACCACTGGTAACAAGCATGCTGATACACTGGCAAAGTCTGCTGCCACTGATCTGGAGGTGGAGGAGACCTACAATAAAATACCTCAGACTTATATCAAGCAGGTCTTGTGGGAGGATCTCTTGCAACAATGACTATTTGAATGGGATCAAAAACACAACTCTACTGCTTCTTCCCCTCCATTAAGGATTTCTTCAATAACACCTGGCTTATACCAGACTTTTCTACCACTAAATTTTTTACTGGTCACGGCCATTTTTTCAACTATCTCCAAAGATTCACCCTTTCTGATAACAACCTTTGCACCATCTGTGGCGTTCCCTATACTCCCCTCCATTACATCTTTTTTTGTCCCATGCTATCCATGCCTCGCCACTTTTTGAGACACGCAGTTTTGGACAAAGGGAGATGTTGGCCATGCAAGTGCATGGCCGTGTAATTACTAATAGAAGATAATAACATTTACTTCTACTTCAAACAGCTCATATCTTCCTACAATAGTCCCTCAAGTCAGCTCCTGTTAGCTTTCGTTCTTTGTCACCATTATCATTCCTTAACTACAACAATTTTGTAAATAATTTTACATAAATATGTGTTTGTTACATATTTTATACTTTATTTGTATTTTATCTCTCCTGTAACTCATTTTGTTTTACTATATACATTATTACTGTACATTGTACATGGAGTGGTATTTATATTTGTATTTTGTATTTCAACAATATTTTAGATTTCAACTTTAGTATCAGAAGTATGTAAATGCCTTATGTAAATATGTGCTGTGTGTTCTACATTATATATATTTCGTGCTCATCATCTATATAATGTGTAAATTTTTGCATGTCTATATTTTTCACGTGTGTCCACTCTTTTTATAATTATTTTTTATTGTACTTGGTTTTCTGCACTTATATTTTATGTGATTCACCTATGTATCCTCTGCCAATCTATATTGTATCTGCTGCCTGGTAGTGCTATATGGAACCAGGCGTGTTTGTGCCAAATAAAATAGATGATGATAATGTATATACCGAGAGGACAGTGGTTTGCCTGCCTTTATCTATATCGGCTCTCTGATTGACGACCTATGTGGCATGGTTATATGGTGATTAGAAGACAGGGTTATTCCTAAATTCCTATTGCAAATTATTATTTATGGGTGATACATTGATGAAATTTGCATTGTTTGGACAGCCAAGCCTAACATTGATGATCTTATCCAAGCAATGAACGAACAACTCATACAGACTAATTCTGGGGTTAGACCAAATTGGCAAAAACAGTGTGCATTTTTTAGATATACTTTTCTTTCAACCACAAGTGTTTTGACATAAAGATCTATTACAAACTGGGCTTTATTCCATTATACATACTGGTCAACTCCAATGATCCATTTAACTATAAAGTAGCACTCTACAGCACTTACGAAGAGAGTCTATTCTTATTGCAGCACTATGGATGATACTAAGGAGATAGATTACATTGCAGACATTGCTATTATGCATGGCTATGCCAAGGATTTCCATAGGAAACAAAAAAAAAAAACACAACCAGACAGTACACCCAAAGATAACCTGTAGATGACATAGCACTATGAGAAACTAAATTTCGCTATAATGTGGTGGCTTACAATCATTGCATGCATAATATATTTAAGGAAATAACATTATATGCGGGCACAAGATTAACATATAGATGTAGTCCGTGCATGTTTAAAATGCTCGTAAGTGAAAAGATCTGATTGACTACAACAGAGAACCAGACATATATAAGATACCTCTCAGAGATGAAAGGTTCCAGAGAGACTTAATCTAACGTGGTCCCTTATAGGTTCTACCATGAGGTCCCTTAAAAGTGCTCCACCAAACACAGAGCCAATATAAATAAAGGCAGGCAAACCACTGCTCTCTCGATATATACAGGGAGGACGAAATTAAACCTGATTTACAACAGGTTATGTTAATTAGAACAACAACAAACACAGACCGACTTAAAGTACTAGAAGCGCTAGAGATTTTTAAAGCAGGTAGAAAGAAAAACGTATAAATTTTAAATAAGAGAGACATGTTTCACAAGCGTGGCAGACCCTGTTATGAAAACCATTTTAAAAAAACTCACAACTCACCACACTTATATATCAAACACGTACACTGAACCAATATAATGTGTGGTACACTTATATATCATACACTTATATATCAAACACGTACACTGAACCAATATAATGTGTGGTACGAACGACGAAACAAAAAACAAAAACGAACATTTTCGAAAGAGGTTCGAAAACGTTTGTTTTTGTTTCGTCATTCGTACCACACATTATACCACACGTTCAGTGTACGTGTTTGAAAACCATTTTATAATTTCTACACTTGGACACATCCTATTGGTCAATTTCAGAGGATTTTAAATTTGAATTTTTGTATAAGCTTTTCTGAACCTAACACATTTGAAAATCAAAATGTTAGACATTCCATCTATTTGAAATTTATGAACTAAAGCAGGTCTTAGAAGAAGAATGAAAACATTTGTTTTTCTGAATTTGCACCATTCTGCTGGGTGAATATCAAAGATGGGAGTTTCTGAAGTATAGTATAACCCAGTTTCTGATATATGAAGTGTGCAATGCCATAAAAATACATCAGTTTTGTTTTTCATTCCCCTAATTTCATTTGTTTTTCATGTTAAGTTTCATTGAGATTCTACTATATTTGTGTTATGATTGTATGAAATGACATACCTCAAGTGCCTTTTTTTAAATACAGTTTATAATCATCTTAAGTGTGGTATTATATAATTAAAACTATATTTTCAAGAATATAATCTCAATTTGTGATATTTGAGCTTAGAACAAATGTAATGTATGCTTGAGTGTACAGAATGGCTTGCTTAACAATGGAATAGACCATAAAAGGGTCTATGTTTCTTCTATATTTGATCAACATCTTCAAGACAAGAGCAATCAACAATGTTCTTTCCTAAAAGATAATAAGAGTTTATTCTCTTGGGAAGCATTTTCTAGTTAAAAACCATTGATCAGTTATTTTTATTATCTGTATAAATTTATATATACGGTGGAAACGTGATTATCCGAAACAGTTTTCAAAAATAAACCAATATGTGTAGCGTTGTGCTGTACATAGCACAGAGTATAATACACAGAGACCAACTCTCTGTGTAACTGGAAATCACTATGTTGTCTATTAATTGTAGCACTGTAAAATGGATCGTATACATAACATTATGTTAGATTTTGATTAACTTACCTTTAATACAATTATTGCATTATAGTATTTATTATTCATGAAACTTCAAATGCACTGTGCTTGAGTGATGCATCCAAAACACAAAAACAAGTTTCCAAACTGTCCGAAATTTCATTTACTTGAAGACCAATCAAGTTCGGATAACCAAGTTTCCGTTGTATGTGCATATTTAATAATTACATATAATGTATACAGTAAAATAATTATATTTAAATATTAGAAAAAAATAAATAATTTTGTTTTTATAAAACTGATTTCAAAAACATAAATTTACTTGCATATAACCAGTGTTTAATTTAAAAAACTAATAAATTAATACAGTTCTTAATACTAATTATTTTGGATTTATTTAATAAGAACTTTTTAAATTCTTAATTATTGTGAAAACATTTCCTTTAGAGATACATAAAGGAATGTCTACACGATTAACTTTGATATTGATATGTGACTTTATCCCAATGTATCGGTTGTTACAATAAAAAATAAATCTGACAACAAACTGTTAATTATTAAAGCAATTATTGTTTCGTCTAAAGATTTTTAGGAATTCTTATCTTCCTATATTTGAAGACGGGAAGATACGACTTTCCCAGAATGTTTCTACAGAGTAATAATTGGCTCGTCACTTAATGGTTAATTATTGGGTGCATGTGAATGACTTTGAGTTATTATTTAGTTGTTTAGAGGAAAAAAATAGTTATGATTGTTTTCTCTAAACAAGCTCTCTTCTAACTTCATTTTCCTAACTGCATTAAATTATATACAAGAATTATTCAAATATAAATGAGAATTCGATAAAAACATTTTGACTAAATGATGAAATTTTATACATATGGAGGTAATGGATGGCTGCCATCAGTTAGACAAAACCAGGCCGTCTTTCTCCATCCATTTCGATCTCCACAAAGACTGTCTTTATCAGAAGGCGGTAAACGTGAATTAGTTAAGTCCATGACTACGTTTTAAACTAAAACAACATTTATTCACAACAATCTTACGAGTACACTTAAGAGAGAGCTACACGTGTTAATGGCAGCGATCACCCAACAAGAAGCAACAATACCCAGAATCCCTTGCGGGAAAATACTCTCATTCTAGTTTTTCAGTCCGGGATTCTCGGGGAACTCCTAGAGGAGTGGCGTTATCTCACGAGTCCCTGATGGTCGCCACACATACATAAACACAAAGCCTGATGCTATTAATTAAAGCCAAACGATTGCTGTGTGGATCGGGCAAGTAATCAATTTAATTATTAGTTCTAAGTAATTTGGTATTAGAGGTAGGCATGATTATAGGCCAAGGACAATGAAGTAGTCCCAGTCAGCACCATAAGTAACCGTGGATGGTTATATCTAAAATTAAATATGTCTGGAGACGAGTGGTCAGACGGAAGTCTGGGTAGCGTAACTGGCAAGGCATCTGCACGGTAAGCAGGAGTTTTGGGTACGAGTCCAGCTCTGGGCCAATTCTTTTCTTCCAGAATATTCTAAATTATTTAATAAATATTGATTTAATTATAATTATTAAATTTAATGAGATAGGGAGTCTAACACCTACCTCTAGTACCAAATTACATAGAATTTAATTAGTAATAGTAACAAAAAAAATATGCATGTCATTATTTCAATTGTTTGGCTTCGGTTACTTTACTTTCACAAAATTTCTTGCTACATCTTTCTAGTAGTGTTTTAGAAGCATCCTAATTTCAGTTTCAAAAAGTCATTCAACTAATTAACTATCTAACTACATGTGCTCATGGATTCAATCACACTGGGATTATTGCAAAATCTCATCTGAAAATACTTTCGGTCGTCCAAACAAGCAAAAGTCTAATGATGCCGACTATATTACAATCCCATTTCAGAACATTGAATTCAAATGATAGGTAATAAGAAAAAAGATTAAACCGAGACTTTCCTTGGATTTAAATATGTTTGTACTTGCCAGCAATTCGGGCAGGTTTGAATAGCTTAAAATATCAGAATCATAGTTTCACACCAGAATGTTTTAATAAAAATCTTATTTATATGCAAGCAACTGTAACATTTTAGAATGTACTAAGTGAGAAATTCTCAAATACTTTCAACGACATATTTCTGAAAGATCTTTCAAAACTTTTAGCAAATATTTTAAAATTTTGTACTAATTTTAATTAACTTCAATAAGACAAAGTTCGATCTTCACTGTAATAAGAATTTAATAACATACATACTTCTGTAACAAAATTTTTATTGTAATTTTCATTAAAACCAAAAATTTACTTAATTGACTTTTATATTATTGTACTTCTAAGATACCGTAGCGCATAAAATAAAATTTTTATTAATATATTCCAGAATTGCCAGAAGAAAACAGTGGAGACGACACGGAGAGAAACCACCACGGAAGTGCTACCTTTACGCACAGGTTAGCTTAGTCAAAAAAAAAAAAAAAATTGGACCATTTCTAATTATTGTTACTCTGTAATTTAATTTCTTATTTGTATAGACCAAAGTAAATAATTTCTTTCTAAATATTTACGAAGAATTATTTATTGTCTTATAATCTCATTTGGATGTGTTCCGACGGAGTCAGTTATATCATTTCTACAATAAAGTCGATTCCCATTTAATTTTAAAAAATCACATGACTTCTGGTTCAGACTGGAAGTTTGTATATAGTTAAACGGGTCCTCTGCCCCCTAAGCTTTTCATATCTGGTTTTCGATTTTTCATCTGTCTAACTCTGTTCTCAAAATTAAGGAGGGATGGATGGACGACGGTATGAACATACAGATTGACAATCTGAAAATTGCAGCCCAATAAAATAGTCTTTGATAAGTTTTATTTTATTATTATTTTAAACTTTTTCATTTTAAAAGACTTTATAAAACTTTGATTTCTTTCAAACAAGTTACAAATTGAAGTGTTTGATGATGATTTTAATATAACAACGTATACATCAACCCGGTTCAATTACGAATGTCAAACGAACTGTCAAATTATTACCTTGTAACAAGGACGAACAGAAAAGTCCCTGGAGGATCTATGTATATGGAGATCCAAGAATGCTATTTTTTCATCTATCTCCTCGTCTATGAAGAAGGAAATGGAGGCGGATAGATGTACAAAGTGGGACGGATCCTGATTTGTACCCTCCCATGTAACGAACATCTGTCAAGCCAGGAGTTGTCCCACTTTGTACATCTATCCGTCGTGTATTTCTGCATTTCCTTCTCCGTAGAAGAGAGAATAAATGTAAAAATAGTGTTCTTGGATCTCCATGTACTACATAGATCCTCCATGGGCTTCTCTGTTCGGTGTACCACAAGTATAATGCCATTTCCCAAGTCCTAGCAATATCTTGTTAAGGATTTTAAAAAATCTGGCAGTTTTTTTGGCATTAATGATTTTAATGTTTATTTAGTGTGTTAGAATCAGGATATTCCAGCATTCTTTCTGGATCATTAAATATTATGATTTTATATTAAAATATCAAATTTATTAAAGTGAATTGAATATTACATTGCTTTTTAAACTTATATTCTGTTTGTTTAATTTTAAAGTGCACAAAAGCTCTCATTGTACAATTAGAAGCTATTATGTAATGTGTTATTGTCATTTAAAAAATTCTTAGTTAAAAATACAAAATAATTTATTAAATGAAGCACTGTGTTGTTAATGAAATATTTATTACTGTTTAAGTTTTATAACTTATAAAATTTCTTTAAAGTAGATTTAATCACATATTACATACCACTATAATAAAATTTTTAATATTTATTAAGAGAAATGACTCAAAACATGCTGATATTGATATTGAAATAAATAATTTATTCAGTTGTTGATATTAAATTTTGTTGCAGTTTAATCAATTGACTATATTAGAATTTTATGAATATTTTTAATGCTTTTTTTGCATAATTTATCATTTCTTATTAATTTTTTTAAGTTAATAATTTATTCATTGCATTTTTATTTTCAGCATTTTAAAAAAATGTTGGAAAAACAATTTAAAAACGAAACTTTTATATGTTTTTCAAAAATTTTTTTCTCTCCCAGTACAAAATACACATCGGACGACGATAGTTCCAGCATAACGTCTGGTTCCGGTCCCGTTGCGGCCGCAGGTAACTTTATCAGTCCACAGCACCAACCGTCGGCTCTTCAAGCAATCGCAACCGGTCCCGAATCATCCATAACCCCTACTGCAGTACCGGTCGTCGTCGATGTCGAACCAATCTTACAAGAACTTCGAGAACAACGGGAAGAAAGTCATCGTTTAAGAGAGGATATTGACTCACTCAAAGTAATTTCGGTTTAAATATTTTTAAGCTTGACAACTGTAGATGTATATATAAGTGAACAAGATACATAATAGTTAAATATAAATGTTCTTTAGAACTTTTAAAGCAGTTAAAAATACGTAGTTCACTTTTATATTCATCTACATAAAAATATGCTTATACAGAATTTATTCTAAAATAGATTTATCATTCAGAGTGATAGGTCGTCGTTATCTTATTTATTTATTTTGAATTCTATACAATAATTTTTTTAAATTAAAATTTTTTTGTAATTTGTACGGGCTACAGTAGATTCCCACTTTACAATATTAATCCATCTTCAGGGCCTGTCATATCATAAAAATAACTTAATACAAAATCAGTAATATATAGTAAAAGAAAATAGTCAAAAAACACCATATTTTATGATGTGTTATCTACGCCAGAGAGATATTCTTTTCTTTACATTTTACAAGAAAAATAATCTTCCAAATCATCTAGCTGTTGGTCTCTTTGGTCGAGAGCCGAAATCTTTGTACGATAGAATTGTATAGCTCTAGTGTGTAAGGCAACAGAGATAAGTAGTTTTTGACAGTAGTTTTGGCCACATCAGCATACTTCTCACACAATAAATATGGTAAAGTATGATTGAAGAGAAAATTATAATGGAAATAGAAGTTTAAAAGAAACACCGAAGCCATTCATGCCCAGTACACAAATTGGCCGATTCCTACTTGTTCTGTGATATCAAAATTGTTACGAGAATTGCACGAGTTTTTACTGATTTGTTCTGAGATTTATTTATTTGCTTTGAATACAAAAAATAGTCATATTGACTCGTGATTATCACCCCGAGGATAATGGTACAAAAGAGAGCCCCCCCATTAATTAAAATTTAAAAAGTAAATAAATCTCTGAATTCAAAATTTTTTTATCATGGAACTGGGCTAATTTCAGTTTACAGGGTGATGATCATATTAGTCATGGGTTTGGCCAGGTTCACAATGGGGATGGTTAAGTGGCGAGGGACATATTTGGGACAAATTATTGATAAAATAATTTTGAGATTGCTCACTTTGATTCAATTTCAGGTCTCCAGAATGGTAGGACCTGACTATCTTTATTTTTTAATAACAAAAGTTTGTGTTTAAAACAATAAATGCCAATGTTATCCAAATATCTGTACTTTGCATTGCTGACAATCCAGTCTATCGTCACTACAAACTACACGATTCAGTTGGTAGCAACCATAAACCAATCATAAAATGAATATATATCATAAGGCAATTTCGTTTTATTGTGTAGAATATTAGAAAGGAATTTGATCGTATATCGAATCAATTGTAAAGTATAAAAAGCCACTGTATATTATTGATTAAGATAAATAAGAGAATTATGCTGTGACTTGTTATAATATGCTTTGATAGAATGTGGAAAGCATGTGGATTCAATTTACTATCAACTCTCCTCAGATCCTGCTAATTTTATTTCATTTTATTGTAGACTATTGAGTTAAATCGGCAGTTTAACAGAACAGTTCAAAATTAGATGACTCAATTTACCGACCGATTTTGAAATATTTTGTCAGCTATGCCTATACTTTGTACTTGCCACTGCATAAACACAGCTTAATTCTTGAGTGTTTTGATACAAAAACAAGATAAATTGGACAGTATAGGATATCTGAATAGTAATTTTATAAAGTGGTCATCATATGATGTGGATTGTTCATACATACTACTGTGATAAAAAATTATCGGGAATGGTTCATTTAAACTGTATGCATGCAAGAGCGCACTGTTGTTGTTTGGCACAACTTTCATTGACATCTAGCAGCAATCTGTATGTCATCATCTGTATTCATTTGCAAATAAACACTTCTTTTGTGTGTAAAGAATTTTTGCTCCAGTGATTTTTTTTTCAAAATGTGAGTGTAATCAAGAAATTGGAGGTGCTTGATTACATAAGCAAATTACTGCTACAAAAACGTTTGAAATATTGCAAAAAGTCTTCTGGTAACAATAGTCTATCAAAAACAAGAATTTTTGAGTGGTACAAGATGTTCGAGGAAAGTAGAGAATGCACTGAAGACGAATCATGCTCCTGCAGACCATCTGCTTAGGGTAATGTATTGTTCATTAGTCAAAGTCAGATTTGGTGCTCAATGATCATCATTTAACAATTAGTCATTATTGGACACATTCCAGCATCATTTGGATCTTGTTGAGCAATTTTAAAAGATCATTTGGACTTATGACATGTTGCTTCTCGAGTCATTCCAAAAACAACATATTCAAGTGGTTAAGGAAATGCTTTTTTGAGGAAAATGTTCTTAAAATGCATCATTACAGGTGATGAAAACACTGAAACAGCTCAACAATTGAATGAATGGTTCTTGAAAGATGAAGCAAGACTGAAAAGACCATGTTAAAGTCAGTCAAAAACATGCTGATTGTTTTCTTTGATTCTTTGGTGTTGTGCATCATAAATTTCTTCCGACTGTCCAAACTCTCGACAAAGAATATTATCTGAGCATTCTGCATTTTCATGAAGCAATTCGTAGAAAATAACCCAATTTGTGGTGAGAAAACTCATGGATTTTGCACCACAATTATGCACCTGCTCACAATGCTTTCATTGTTTGTGAATTTTTGGCCAAAAGTTGAACAAATACGGTTCTGCAAATTTCATACGCACTCTGATATGGCATTGTATGACTTTTTCCTGTTTCCTTGACTAAAATCTCTGCTTTGTGGTTGCCGTTTCGAGTCAATTGATGCCAAAAAAACAAAATTTGCTGCAAATTCAGAAGGGGTTTCACAAAAACAAAAAATGTTCCAATTAGAAAAAAAATGTTAGCCTAATTGCATTGCAGTAGAAGGGGGATTACTTAGAAGGGGACAGAATAAATTCAAATCTTGCATTTCATTGAATCATTCCTGATACTTTCTGCCATAACCAAATTATCAAAAAGTATTTTTCATTTCAGCAGTGTCATATTTTCTGGAATCCAAGGACTGTACTATACTATGGACTGTTTATACTGTACTATATTTATGGACTGTTTATGTACATACATAAACAGTCCATAAATCTGATTTTCAAGTAATGCCAAACAATATCAAATTTAATTTTAATCACACAGACACGTCTATGTAAGTAAAAACAGATAAACTAATTTTTCAATTTTTTAACGTGCATACTTGGAAAACCTACTTTATTACATAACGGACTTTCGGCTTTAACGGACATCTCTTGCCCGAATTAGTCCATTAAATTGGGGTTTTACTGTATTGACTACATCATACAAATGACAAATTAATTTTTTAATGTCTTTTTTAGAACCATCTACAACAACAAGGTTCTTGTTTCAATCAAGCACTACAAGAAGAACGTTACAGGTATGAAGTAAGTATTAAAATTAATATATCTTTTTATGTTTATAATATTTATAATTAATTATTTTTGTACAATTTAATTTAACATATTCTTCTAAATTAACATATTTGATTCCTATTGTCATTACGAACCTAATTTCACTAAAATTTGAATCGATTTAAATATGAATTGAAGGAATTACATTGATGCATTCCTAAACATTTCAAGACTTTCATGCAGTAATAATTCTTAATTAGTAATTTTATATTCTGGCGGGAGGAAAATAGATTTCGGTGAAATTAGAAAATTAAACTATTTTGTTTTTTAGAAAACAATTTTCCTAATTTATTCAACAAAAATAAACTGCTTCAAAATATTATTTTCAAAGAGTGTACAGAGAAAGCTTGTCTATTTAGGCTCTTCCAATTTTACTTGTATATTTGATGTGGATGAATTATAATAATCTGTATTACTCGGTCAGATTGATTTGTTCCAGTTTTGTTTATTTCGGTGTTGAAGTGGATCGGCTGTGTGAAGCATCGGGATAAAATTATACATTTCACATAAGTAATGTACGCATGCGTGTTAAATGATCTCTACATAAATAAACATTTTCATAAGTGGTTTTTGCTTCTAAACATAAAATAGTTTACCCCAAACATTTTTGCTCAACCGAACCAACAAAGTTAAGACACATTACACATACAATATAATTATCCTTTTGAAACTTTAAAGTACAGGTTGATCATAACTAATCTGGCATCACTGAGAGCTATAGGGTGCCAGATATTAAGATACAAAATAAATCTTTAAAAAATAAAAAATAATTATGTCGTTCATTTGATTTCAAGTAATTTAATACGTCCTATACAGGTGTTTTTACACCTGTACAGCCTTGAAGATTTTTAGTTCATTTTCAAGATGCATTGCAGTAATTCTTTTGCAGTTTATAGTATTGTTGATTTTTCAACCTCAACTGCTTTCATAGTTACGAAGAAACACTTCATACTCGTTTGTATTCTTGCCCAGTTTCCAGGCGTAATGCAGTTATTGAAGCTACTGGGCATTATTAAAAATTTAAGATATCAGTGCAATTATTCAAGATATTACAGGTTCTGACAAGTAAAGAATTTTCAGTGTCCTGTCACAAACAGGCTACATATTGATAAATAATAATCTGTGATATGCCATAACAGGTAAAAATTTAAAAAACAAATAAGCAGGCTTAAAATTAATAAATACAAATGTATTCTGATAGTTTATGAGTTAATTATACTTTCTATTTGCAAAATCTCCTCAACCTTAACACAAAAGAAAAAGTGAACTTTTAAGAAATTTTCAGGACTTTACAGATTAAAAAAACAGCCAGGATTCCATTACAGAAAACCTAGTATTTATTTATAACACACCTGAACATTGTTGGTTGTTTTGGTGATTTAAATGTTGAAGATAAACTATGAAACAAATAGTTGTTTAGTTAGTGCATGCATTAGCAAGTGTAATAGTTTTAAGAATATTATATAATGTATTTATTTTGTACAAATAGTTGTGTGAAAATCCATGACTTCATTTTTTTTTTTATTAACAACTGTCCGATTAAAAATTGTTTCACGTCATGTTACAAATCTTATAATGTTAATGTTTTCAGTCCCTTTCACTAAGTATAATCCATATTGTGAGTAAAGTTCTAGTATCAGTAAGATAGTGTGAACACTTGACACATTCAGCTTGTCAAACTCGTGGTTTCTTTTACGTGATTAGTTTTTCTTCACTACACAACTTATCTGCGCATCTATATTTGTAATTAGAACCTGGCATATTCAAGTACAGCTATTTGATGGTGTATATTTGCATTAAAGATATGAACAACGGACTTTTAGACCAAATCTCAATAGTAATTAATAAAAATTAGTATTAATAGAGCCTGAAATAATTCAGCAATTTAGAATCATTTGACAATGGACATTTAGGATTTGGCTTAAAATATAATTCTTAGTCTCTGTTGAAGCTAATAGTGGCAATAAAGTTACCTAAGACATAATATCAATCTTATTTTCCATGTAAGTTTATTGTGAAGTAAAAATTCACATATTTAATTAAGTGTTTGATGGAGGATTCTGGTAGATGAATCATAAGATCCTTCGGGAATTTGTTAGTGTGATATTTAATCTAATATAGATATTATTAATAATGGCATTTGTCTCAATGTTGTGACTATATTAAATGTTACTTCTATTTATTATAATTTAATTTTAGCGTTTGGAAGAACAAATGAATGATTTGATTGAGTTACATCAAAACGAGATAGAAAATTTAAAGCAAGGTATAGCCGACATGGAAGAAAAAGTACAGTATCAAAGTGAAGAAAGATTGAGAGATGTCCATGAAGTTTTAGAAAATTGTCAGACTAGAGTAATTATCTATATATATATATATATATACACATATATTTTCCTGTTTACTGTACTTATAACTAAGGATAAAAAGAAGCAAAACAAAAATTATTTGTATATTGTTTCAGATATCTCGAATGGAACATCAGCAGCACCAACATCTTCAACAATTAGTTACATTGGATGCCTTAGAAAGTTCAAATGCCAGGGCATTTGTCGTAAAACTTATAAATCTTTTGTTAATGGTTCTTCAGGTAGTACTGGTGCTCGTAGCCACTGTGTCCAATATCATAATGCCATTTCTTCAAAGCAGGTAACTAGATATTTAAACAAAACTTCATTTTTCTATTCTTTTATATATAGTGAACTCTTGCTTTGGTTGGTTTGTTATACAATGGATAATGAAGTCTGTTATTCCATAAATGGAATTTATCCACATGGTCTATCACCCATGCTGACCTATGTCCACTTGACGCTAGTGGGACCATGCAAGTGTTTTAAATGAATTACCAAAGAAAGAATATATCCTTGGGTTCTGTTCTTCATTTTTAATAAACAAAGTCCAAGTAGATAATATATACACGGAAATACCAAATGTGTTACTTTTTAATTCAGTTTCAAATGATGATTGCACATACAATTAATCTTAACATTATTGCAATGAAAACTCAAAATTTATTCAAAGATTATATTTATATATATATACATTAAAGGATTTGTAGTATAAGTCATATCTTATATAGAATATGTGTTTTTCTTTTTAGGATACGTATACTGACGACCGTAGTGCTAATCCTAGCTGTGATCTTAGTGTGCAGGCAGTGGCCGGAATGGCTGGAGATTGGTCAACAGTATTGGAATAGTTATTTCCAGAGATAATTGTGATCTATTCTAAAAGGATTTTCATATCTTAACTCTCCGTCGAGAGAGAAAAAGTGGTCGACGTCACTAAACGAAAACCACAAACTGAACGCTTGGTTGCCAGACAAATTTACTTTCCTAGAGATACCAACTAACGTCATAAACTCCCACAACAATCATTTGAATGGCAATCAAATGTGGTATCACTATAAATATATATAATATACATACACGTACATATATATACTCAGCCAGGCTTCTTTAACGAGAAGTTTTTATATAGCTGAAAGTATTATTATAAAAAGAAACAAAGGGAAAAAAAAGCACATTTAATAATAGATAAGTTTCGATACTGCTGTGATATGTTATTGCACTTCATGTAGTGAACCATCTCGTCTTTGCAATTTAGATTTAGGAAGTTCCACTTTCATCCTATGGACCATTGTGCTAGGGAATGGTTTTAATACATATTGGAAAGTACGTAGAACTCCCGACATTATACGAAGTTATTTGACGCTCTTTGTATTATTATATTATTATTATACTACTATTATTATTATCGAAGTAGATTTTAATTTTATTCATAAAAAATATACATAATTTATTTTGTCTTTTGAACAGTGAATGGTATTATTAGCATTATTGGTGTACCAAATAATCTGTCCACATCTCAATTCATACAGGTGGTATGCGTACTCCTGGTATTCTCTCGCATTCCACAAAATGTACAAGTCTTAATAGTGTTACATACGTTATGACATGATTTTGAATAAATGGTGCAATTCAATTTTGTAGTGGTATATGTATTTTTTCAGTTTTTATCACTGGTTCAAACAGTGATCTAGGAAACAGTAAATTAGTAATCTCATTAGTGGTAAATGTGAATTGGTCAATCACCGTATCAATTCAGACTAATCCACAATTTGTAAGACTAAGTGTTACTAATCCACTGTCTGGCAAGATTGTGGTGTCAATAAATTTTTATATTCTTCAAACAAATGGAAACAAAATCCTCAGCCAAAAAAGAATTTTAAGCAAATCTTCACCCATTCGTTTAACACATAACAGGAGTTGCAAAATGACCACGATCAATACGATTCTTAAAATGACCTTTCAACACCTTTGGGAATGCCTTCATTTAAAATTTTGAATATAAGAGGAACATTTTGTTACATTACTCAAGGTAATTGTAGACATTACAAAAGCAAGTAATCTTATAATTGCACTTGTAATAGATTGACGATAGCACTCGCTGCCCAAAACTGACATGATAATGATACTACAAAAAACCAAAATTGCTCACCACAAACACTTTTGTTTTCACTGTATTTTTCTGTGACTTTGCAGTTGCCTCGTTTTATAAAATTAAAGACCATCCTGGAATTTGTGCCTACAGAACACTTAGGCATGACAGTATCTTTAATGGTTGGCGAGTGCGTGGCATTTTTGCCAGTTTGAAAAAGTACGGAGATGTTGGAAAACACTGTAGCATAGCAATACAGTATCTGTTAATAAATTTAATGTTTACAAATATTACATTGAGAAGTTCAGGAGAATTCCAAACAGTTAATGACTAAATAGAGTATTTTAAAAGATAAGCAGTATAGCTAGATAAACAATAAAATCTCATACACATTTTGTAGATTTTTTGTAACAAATAAATATCAGATCTTTTTGAAAAATAAGCAAAATCTAAAAATAGGTTTTTTTTAGACAAAATCCATCATCCCGGTGATGGTTTTTGTCTAAATTTTCCATTAAAATTCACTTTGACTTAGTGTCATTGCATAATCAGTCCCAACAATTTTGTTTAAGGTTAATGTGTGGATAAATTACACTACTGTCCAAGTAATTTGAGCTAATAGGGAAGTGATGTGGCTTACTTGTTGTATCTAAAGGTTCCCTGTTCATCTACAAAACAAATGTACAACACACACACACACACACACAGCCTATCCTATGGTAAAGGCAAAAAATGCTGTGCTTCCCATAAAAGGCTTAATACTTTGACATGTACACAATTTACTACAGATCAATGACTTTAGTTATTAAATTTTTAATGAAGTTTAATCATCACGCCATATAAAATATATAGGGCAAGTCAAATGTCCCTTGTACCCTTTTGAGTCATCCTGTATAAAAAAAGATACATTTGACAGTATCCTGTTAAATACATTCTTAGCTGAGATTAGTGAGGATTTTCTAGACATACTGGACAATGAAACGAGCACATCAAAAGAATTGTTCCCTGTTTATTAAAATTGTGACGATTTTTCAACGTGCTTCTGGATAATAACACATCTATTTTTAGAATGCAGCATGCGTGCCGATCTTAGTAAATTATGTTGCACCGAAACAAGTTTAACGTAGTTTATTTCAAAAGTGTGGAGATGTATTATCAACAGTAATAGCCTAAATACTTATGTCAGTACATAAAAAATGCAATATTGTCATTGTCTTTTAATTATGATGCTCAAATTTGGTGAGAATTAACTTAGTAAATTTTCTTAAATTTGAGCCTCATTGCATAAAAATAAGTACAAAGATGTTTTACGTATAATTATTATTATAAGGTTTATGGATAATGCAAGTGTAATATTCATTGGAAGTTCCTATATCAAAAATAATCCTGTTAAATTTGATCCAAGTACTGGATCAAATTTATCAATTGTTTTTCTTTGAGAGAGAGAAAAAAACAGTATGATCAGAGCCGTTACATTAGTCCTGTTCGACATTGTTGAATGAGACTAATATAATGGTCCCAGACACTAAGCTTCTTGCTGCTTATCAAATACTGAAACTTCGATATAATTGATAGTACTTAAGACTAGGCCCAGAGTTTCCACGGTCCCAATTCAAGCCTATTTAGATTTTACGTATCACACGAAAATACGAAATAAGAATCCGTTCCTCGCTGAGTTTGCCAGTTATGTTTTCAATAAAAAATCAGATCCATATCTCTGTTTTTATAAAACTATTCCGTCTTTCCTATGATTTCGTACTTTTACAAACAAAATTTATACAGTTATTTGGTAATTTATGGGTCTGCGTTTTAGAAGAGAGAAAATAAATATTGCAATTCTTTAAAACCAGAAGCAAATAAAACAAATCAAATTAAATTAACCCTTTTATTGTGGGAAAAGCATTGTATGAAAAGTGTTTCTGTAAAAGTTTTTGTACAGCAACAGTCAACTCATTTTAGAAAATGACATCTCATATAATCTAACTAGAAATTTTTTCGTTATATATTTACCTTATGGAAGTGTCACGGATAGGAATATACAGGACTTTTTCTGTGCAGCATGAAGTCGGCCGTTCTTTTGTAGACTACGGATTTACACTAACCAACATTAAAAACGGTTATTTCTTTTCTTTTTACTATAACAAACAATGATACACACATCGTTTCCTGTCGAGATCCCACAATAATTAATACTTACATTAACAAAGAATAATTTATGGTATAACAGACAAAAAAATACTGCCTTATATTTAAGTATTGTCATGTACTAACGACACATAACTACCGAAATATACACTATTACGTATAAATAAATTTAAATACAAAGTTTTGATCTACTCGAAACTATGGATTTTTTGGGGAATGTTATTGTCTACGACCTAGATAAAATCTCGTTGAGCACAAATTTGTTATCTCAATAAAATTGAAAAGCGTACACATCTTTATCAAACAACAATAAACTCGGTAACAGCAAACTTCAAAACTTTTTTTTTGGTTTTTGTTTTTTGAAATCGAAGGTTTGGCATAAAAACATTATGAAAGATTGCTAGATTAAATCGTGGATTCGATATCCACACACGGTATAAAGCGGCAACAGTTTTAAATCTAAATGTGCTCGTTTTTTTTGTTCATTTAAAACTACTTTGTACAGGTAATTACCTTAATACTATCACAATGTTGTAAACAATCTTGGGAGATTACATTTGAAGACTAGATGCTCGGTAGAAATGTTAAAACTAAAATGGCCTCGCTTCGTCTACTTCCCAAATGATGCTTTTGAATTCTGTGTTTTCTTTGTCGTTTATGCAGCGACCTGCTGCGATTTGGATATCCTCCCTGCGTCGGATGTCGACGGTTGATTCGAAGTGTCCATGTCTTCTCCCGAACTTGTATTTTTGCTGGTCCCTTGTGTCGGAACATCTAAAATTAAATTTGATAAACCGTTTACTTATAATTTGTAAGAATACTTCACTTACAATTAAATGAGGTTCTTTTGATAATTTATTTCCAAAACAGTAATTTAAATAAGCATTTCTGTTTAAATTCTTCAAGTGGCATCTTATCAATTTTACATAAATAAAATAAAATGAAGCATACCCCTTGCTGATATTTATATCCCGGATTTTAATGTCGGTTATCCGAATGCATAATTATCCAATGGCAATATTTAAGGTGCAAGTACACATTAAGTTTATTGAAATTGATTTCAATGCTGTAGACCAAAACATAACAATCATTTTTCTGATTATACAATTAATTACTATAGATGAATTGTCAAAGCTGCAAATGACATATCATACATAAGATAAATGGCATTTCAGTGTAACGCTGGGTATACGTGAGCATGTGGATGACAGAACTGTCAGTTTCTCATCCACACATTTGGGTATACTGGTATGCGTGTATGTGGCCGAAGCAAAGATCGTAAAAATTTAAAAACGAAATTAGATTGGTAACTAAGATTGGAACACTTAGTTTAAAAAATAGAATTAATCCAAAAGTCTATGCAGCAGTTTAGGTTTTATGGTTGATAACAAAGTTTAGTTCACAGATTAGACAAAGTAAATGAATAGCACTGATGTGCTAATAATGTTAATTTTCAATTTATACCGAAAGGTACTCGACGAGTTCTGGATCGAGATTTTAGCAATTTAACCCTACCGTTTGCTAATTAACCTTGTCTAATTTTTTACAGGAAACAAATTTTAAATTTCCCAAGCTGTTCCTTAACTTTCAAACTTTTTAAAGAAAGCAAATGCATGCAGCATTTAATTGAACTGTTAATTTAATTGTGCATTTACAATATCTTTAGCAAGAAAAAGCCTAAGTAATTTTTTTTAAATCTCCTGACGAGTACGACGACAGAGTGTAAACCAAGCACAAATCATTAATTTTTGAAATGTCGAAATACCACTCGACAATTAAGTATCGCAAGACAATATACCAGTTAAAGTTCGAATGATGCAATAGTATTTAAAAAATTTTTTATATTATTTTAATATGAATGCATTCAATGGCCTTTCTACTGCTTCCTATTCTAAGAAAATTACACTAATCATATTTTTCTATACATTGATTAAATATGATTTGAGAATTATTTTTCATAAATTACAATTCAGTATTTAAAACACTGTCTTTTCTAACTTTTTATATTTTGAGTATTTTTACCATCAAGGATGAATTTTATAGAATGAAACAAAAATAATCCATAAGCAAGGAAGGAAGCAAAATTTAAATTTAAAATAGTTAGGGATTCTTCATTTTCAATTACCGACTTCAACTGCTTCGTCGTCATCACCACTACACAAAAATAGACTAACGTTAATATATTTTAATAGAAATAACGACTAATAAACACAGCTAAAACTCATCTCTGCCCTTTGAGAGCAGAGATGAGCTTTATAAAAAGTTGTAAATGGTAATAATGAGCAAAATTTTCATTAAGTCAAACCTCTTTCAAGATGTGACATGATGCGCTTCTATCTCCCCATTCCCTCAACATTCAACTAGCAAAATTTAATAGCATCGCTGCCCCTTACACACAAGCTATTGTGTCATATTTCGTTTTAATCTTTAACCCATGAAGTACTAAACAAAATAGACACAAAGGAATTCTCCCTTTTAGACATGTATTTCTTTGATGTATTTAATTCTTTCATCTCTCCCTGCACCTCAATTCAGTATGTGCAGACTACCCATGTAGACTTGTTCATCTGTGTTCTCCCTTTTTGAAACCTGATGAAGTCTCCCAACTTTACTTTAGAAGTCTATCTTGTTTTTTGTAGAGATCAGACTTTGATGTAATCTCTCAGTTTGTACAATAGATCTTTTCAGTTGAAGTACTTCTGGCATTTCCCCTCAATGATACAATTTACATTATATGAAGAGTAAAAAATTTTTTATTTTAAACTAATATACACACATCAAACAAAACATTATTACCATGTACAGTCGACCCCCCTATAACACTGTTGATTACTCCGTTTTATATGAATTTCATGTTGTACGAGTCACTTAGATTTTACAAATACGTGAGCCGTTCAGAGCCCGGCATATGTATTTGTAAAATCTAAGTGACTCGTACAACATGAAATTCATATAAAACGGAATAATCAACAGTGTTATAGGGGGGGTCGACTGTACTAAAATGCTGCTAGAACAGCCTGAACTCTGAGACAGACTCAGTGAGGTCATGTAGTCACAAATAGATCTTTCAATCCTTATAGGTTTCTCAATGTAACAATGATAGTGGATCTTCCTTTCAAGGACCACAGATGCTCAATGAGATGGATAACTGGCAAATTTGGTAGCCAGGGCAACATTCCAAACTTTTGAAAAATTGACATCTTTTGGTTTAAGATGCAATGTCCTGTTGAAAAGGACTGTCCCCATCTCCATACTCACGAAAGGAGTGCACCTGGTCCACAGGATATTTAGAAAGATATATCTTGTCAAAAAGGTGACCACAGGAATGATTGGACCAAAGACTTCACAACAGAACACCCCAAAACATTCATCACCACCACCACTGATACCAACGGTGCATCCAGGTGCAAAGATCTTCTCCTGGTAAATGATATATACAGACTGGATTCACTCACTGCAACAACGACAAAAGAAGAAAAAAGGGATTCATTGGATCAGGCAACCTTATTCCACATAGTCAATCACAAAATCAATGGTCACCTGCCAACTTTAGGTGCTGTTGATTATGCACTGAATTAGCTACAGATACCTTGACAAGCTGAAGGCTACATAGTCCATGCATAACAGTGTTCTATGCTCTCTGCATTGGAACACTTTCCTATTGTCTTTTCTATGAAGTCCATCTGCAAATTTATGCCACATTTGCTATTCTATTGTTTTTTTACAAGCCAATCTAGTCTTTGTTCTCCTCTGGTGTCAATAAGGTGTGGTCGACCAGCATCTTTCTGACAGTTGGAGACTTAATAAGTGCTGAATGAGTACGTTCCATCAGCCTCACTGTTTTGGAGATACTTGTTTCCAGATGCCTTGTCGTCATAATTTAACTTTTGTCCAACCCAATTAGATCTTTGTCCTTGCCTATTTCAAGAGCATTACACACTTCAACTGACAATTCATCCCAATAGCCCCTTGCTTATAAAGCAGTTGACATTTGCATACTCAATTGGAACCTGTTAGTCCCTACCATTCATTACACCTTAAAGTAGTCATAATGTTTTGCTTGATCAGTGTACGAGAAAATATTACACATTTTAAATTTGTCGTTTGGAACACATTAATATATATTTTAATTTGTAAGGTTCCATTATTCTATACCCAAAGAAGACAATCTGAAATCGTCGAAAGTACTTGTAGTAATATTTCAAGTAAAATAATAATACCGACAGACAGTGTTAGTATTTTCTTAAACTATTTGGCATCGTACAAAGCAATTTCGAGCATTTTGATCAGTGTATATAACACATCAAAATTTATGAAAAAATTTTTAACATATAAACAAACCTGAGCATGACAGTTTCTCCAAACTGCCTGGAAGAGATGCGGTACTGATTGTTGCATTTTGTTCCATAATATCTGCAAGAGCATTACGTCGACCTGTTCTACCGGTTTGCAGGAAAGCATCAAACGCTGAACCTCCCGCCTGTTCTAAATCAGTTGTGACATGGTCCACCTCCATCGAGTCTTTGAAATGGGGCAATCCCCAAAACTGTTTTTGAAATCACAATTGATAATGATCAGACGATCATTCAATTATTATTAAACAATAATTCTTGATAAATACATTCTTTCCTAAAAAAAAGAAAAAGAAAATAACGATTAAAATTTTTAAAGTAAAGTTTAAATTCGATATGTAACAGAACATTTGTAAAATACATTAAATAATTAAAACGTGACACATTTATCCTTGAAAGTCTTTCAAGCAAAGAAAGTATGACACGACAAATAAACAAGATTTTCCCGTCTACATTTATATTTTATATTTCTAATGGATATTAAATTAGCGAAATAAGGAATTAAAAATAATAATTCACCTTCTTATGATCATGAACATGCAATGCGTGACTAGTTTAATAGTTTATACATTAAATGGAATTTATATAATAAATCAAGTTCAAATTATATAATAATAATCAAATGTTAACACCGGATATATCAGTCATAACTTGCCTAATTATATATATTAAGTAATTTGGTCTAAAGCTAGGCAATTAAGTCACCATCTTGTACTAAATTTAATCATTAGAATTAATTTTAGAATATTCTGAAAAAAGGTCAATGCAGATGCATGGACCTCTGTCCGATCTTCATCTCCAAACCAATTAATTTAATTATCTATCTTTAGTCCAAATTACTTAACGGTCCGATGAATTCAGCATTATCATTTGATTATTAAACGGCATTTACCCATGACAAATTTAAAATATTAACAATAAACCAAACTCGACAAAACTCCTGACGCAGAAGTGAATATTTATTTATAGTAGCAATATTTCCAAACTATATAATTCTTCTTCAACTGTTAATAGCATAGAATGGGGTTTTTTTGGGGGGTTTTTAACTTGTCAAAAGCATTACTACTATAAGTACATTTACTCTGACTCTTGTATCACGAGTTTTATACGCTGTTTATTAGTAAACATTGAAAATTGATTAAAATACTCTAAATAAATAGAAAATAAAGCCAAATATTAATCATATTTATATCTACAGATAGAAAAAAAATCTAAAATATCAATTATTTCTGTAATAAATCTGAAGAATATATTACATTTTGTGAGTATACAGTCCACTCAAAGAAGACAAATCCATTTTTGGACTGAAAGCACCTAGTCATTCAATTATATCCATATGGCCGAGCATCGGGTCAACGTACTTTAACTACTTTCTAAGAAAGTCAAGTACTTTAAGGAAAATTTAATATTTAAAAACATTTTCAATCTGACAATAAACAGTAAATAATGTACGCTTCTAGGTAAACAATTTCTAAATCATTCCTAATCGTCATTTAAAATGGTAAAGGAATTTTGTTGTTATAAATAGAAAAAAAAAAATTGTTATTTCAATCAAAATATAAAACATGTTAATTTTGTGTGAATCTTATTTATTTATTGTGTATTATTTGATGAATGGTTTATAAAGTTTGACACTATTTGTCAGGTTAGAGTTGTACAGCTGTATTTTTTTTTAACTTTAAAATCTTGATTCATAAATTTCACCGCAGAAGAGTGGGATCTTTAACGAGATCAATAATTGTATAGGACCAGCAATATTTTGATTTACAAAGTACTATAAGTCTGTCGTAAATGTATATAGGACATTGATAAATTATATGAGGAATTGCTAGTGAATTGGTGTCACACAAACAAAAAGTCGGTCTTTTATTCTGAATTTTGCCAGGTATTTGTCATCATCAAACGGAATCATTTTTAATTTAATTGACAGCCGCTGATTAAGAGTATAAAGAACATACTAAAAGAGCACAAGCCATTCAACTGGACACGTATGTTTTGTCTAACTTTTCGTAATGGCTGTTTTTAATTCATTGCGGGAGATGACGTTTGTGTTAATTAAGCAACAAACCCTGGAATAATTTTACAAAATTTTCTTTTATTATAATATCTTTTTAAAATATTTATTAGATCATATATTTTTTAGGGCATAAATTTTGAAAGAGTAGAGTAAGTAATGAATAAAATACGTGTTCATGCATTTCTATTAATTTTTCAGAGAAAGAAGTTATTTTTATAGGATCGTAAAAGTATTAAGGTTACGTATTTATTAAGTCTCTCGTAAAAAAAATTCTGATTGAATAAATTATTTACATAGGATATTAATTTTTTTTTTAGAGAAACAATTGATAACTGCAAGGAATGGTTAATATTAATTAAAAAGTAAATTTATTCGAAGGCTCGAGAAAATTATCCGCAATAGAAAATTCTTTATTAGATTTAAGTTTATGAAATTTGAATAGAAAAATCCTTCAAATAGTTATCATCATCAAGCCTCATTAATGTTAAAGTAAATCAAAAACATTAAATTACACACTTATTAAGGAAGCTTCTCAAATGTTAATCCAATCTGTACTACTTTTGTTGAAAAAAATTTATTTCTTTTTTTTAGAAAACTAATGATTGGGCTGCAATTTGAAAAAATAGACCTATAAATTCCCACTGTCGTCTGTCTGTCCTTCCTTAATCTCAAGAACGGAGTTCACGAAAGTCGAGACTATATATATAAAAAACTAGAGGCAGGAGGCCCTGATTAACAATGTACCAACTTCTGGTTTGCGCCAGAAGTTGCGTTATTTCAATTTAAAAAATCTCCCCCAAAATGAGCTAGATAAATGATCTGCATGACTCTATTGAAAATGGAAAAGTATGATGTACAGGGGAAGACACTAATTTGAGGTGGAGAGCGTATAGTTTAAATTAAAAAATTATTAAAAATTGTAGTACGATGTCAAAATAAATGGCGGACTACAATTTTTATTGCGACATCATAAAGCTCATACTTTATGATGTCACACCAATTGCTCATTTCAATTATTTCTCTTGTAAATTTCTAATAACGGGCATAAAGCTTGAGAAAATTACAGCTTACTCTATTTGCTAATGGCATCCCACACCACGATGAATAAAACAATGGAGTAATCTTGTGATTGCTTTCCTCGTGATACAATAAGCTAATACATCCAACAAGATTTTAATAATCTGACTCGCGTTCCATTTTTTTTTTTGCACAGTCTCTAATGGAATGTGTAGTCCCAAAAAACATTTAAAACTCAAAAAAATTAGACTCCTTAATCCTTTTAGTGTCATTTGTTCGTAAGATTTTAATTATATTGATACAAAATAATCAAATTATTCGAGAATCTGGATGACAAAAAAGATGATAAACTAAAGAAAAAGTAACAAACTGATACAACCACTACTAGGATTAACATAATTGTTAATCATACTTACCAAATAACTAAAGCTGGATTTTGTCAGGTTATCTGACTAGACATTGACAAATTCTGGCTAATTACCGTCTAATATTCAAATTCAGACTATACGAGAAATATTAAATATATTTTTTATAGAAATAAACAAAATACAGCTGGATTTTTAATCGGACTATAATATGGCTAATTAATTATAAAGATATTACATAATTTGGACTAAAAATATGAATTAAGCAGCCATCTTGTACTAAATTTAGCGATTAGAAATAAATTAATTTAGAATACTTCGGAAGAAAAGTGTTCCGGAGTGGGATTCGTAACCTCGACTAAGTTATGCTTACGATGAAGATGCAATGTCAATTATGCTGCCTAGACCTCCATTCAACCTTCACCAGACCAATTACTTCAAAAAAATATAAATTGTACGGGTCACCTGCTATGCCAACTGGAGATGACTGTATACCTACAGTCCTCTATGGCACTCAGCCAGTTTAAACTTTTATCTTAGCATGGTATATGTATAATTACATGTAAAAAAAACCAAGCTAGACGTACATTAATAAGTAACTAACTTGGTAACACATACCAAAATATTACTTAAAGCAGTTAACTGTCTTGTAGCAATTACATTAAAAACAAAAAAAAATAGAAGTTTAAATAAATAAAAGAATTTTATATTAAAATTATATACCATATTTTAAAAATTTAGAAAATGCAAATAGAATACTTTGTACTAAATTTTAATGATGTAAACTCTTAATGATTTGTAAAAGAGTAAGTCATTAAGTGCTTACATAATTTGCAATTATATTATTGCAAATTTAATTTTACCACAAAGCTCCATGTTCTAAATAAATAAAAATTTATAATTTAAGCCTTTTCATATTAAATTCTTCCTGAATGACAAAATAGTAATAGTGATCTAAAAATTTCAGAATTCAATACCTAAATCAATAAAGAATAATCTCTGTAAAATGTTCATAAATAACAAAAGAATGTTATAAATCTTATTAAATGAAAAGAATTTTCATACAAAAGGTGACATTTAAAAATAGTAAAGTAACAACCTGTCTGAAGAAATAAGCTTCATTCTATTTATGTTTCATATAACTTATATGAAACAAATAGAACTAAGCACGCTCCTTCAGACAAGTGGCTAGTGTTGTAATAACTTAAGTCATATCAATTTATTGCTAAAGCCAAATGTTCCCTTTCATTGTTAATTATTATTATTATTATTAAAGGTATACAGGTACTTAAATTTTCATTCCAAGAAAAATATCCACTCAAATGTTTGTTTATAACTGCTAAACCTTAAAACTAAAATGAAACAAACATATTTTTACCATAAGATATAACTCATTTTTATTTTTACACCATTAAATATTATTTTATGGATAAAACATTTTTGTTACGACTATAGTAGAATCTTATTTTAACGAACCACTGAAAATTATCAGCCGTTCGAGGAACTCGGTTGTATTGTAAATGAATGACGGATTTCCCTCACACCCAGGAAAATAGCTGTTATTTGAAAAAATTTCACTTTTTAACCTCCTAAATATAAGAAATACTTGTACTTGAAATTATTTGGTCTCTCAAAATCTCTACCCTTTATTCTACAGAAACACATGTTACAAAACGACATATGAGTGTATGACAAAGCTGATGGAAATTGTATATACAAACAGAGGCAAAATATATAGTATATATGCCCATTAGCACTTTACTTGACTTCATGATTTGTTAAAAAAACTTGTCCATCTTGATTTGTTTTGATGTTGCTTTTCTGCCCATTGAGTACAACAACCAGAAACAGCTTCCCGCCACTAATCAATGCAGGAGG